GCCAGCATCCCGTCCACCTGGCTGTCGCTCAGCTTTGACGAGTGACGTACCGTGACGAACACGACGAGGCTCTGCGGCACAACGTCAAGCCCCACCTCCACCACGTCCTCGCGCCCCACTCCGAGCGCCCGCGCCGTCTCGATGGCCGCCGCCTCCTTCACCTCCGCGTCCCGCCGCTCCAGCACGTAGTCCCAGTCCTCGCCTTCGAACCCAAGCTTGTGCGTGGTCACGACCTTTCCCTCCATGCCAAGAAGCACCTCCTGATACACTGCCCAAACAGCCTTGTATTTGCATACATCCATCGCCGCTTTACCATCCTGCTCCGTCAGCGACGCCGGGCGCCTCAGCTCAAATTCAACAAGCAAGCCATCAGCCTCGGGCTTTAGAACTACACCACGCACGCTACCCTCATCCACCCCAACCGCCGCAGCCGTCTCCTTCGCAAACGCACGCATCACATCTTCCCCCCTCGTCTCCACCACGTGGTCCCAGCCCTCGCCCTTGAATCCCACGTTGTTTTTTGTCCAAACGTTGTTTTCTTTCTCTTGGGAAGGTTTTGATTGTTTATGTAAAGCCCATGTTGTAGGGTATGTGTAGTTATCTACTGATTTTTGGGCCTCTTTGGCTTTGTCTTTGTTTATATATACCAGGCAGTGAAATATGAGTGCGTCATCCGTTGCTGTTGTTGTCTGTATTTCAATGTTTTTCTGAGGGATGTCAAGGGCCACCGCCGTGTCACTTTTGAATGCCTGTTCCACCTCCATCTTGCGTGTAGAGAAGATCATCCTCCACTCCCTCCCCTCAAGCTGCTTGTGAAGTGTTGTATAACTATCAGAGGCGTTTTTGTATAGCGCGTGCATTTTTGGGTACGGAAACGCATTTATAGTTTCTAAGAGAGTATGTCGTGATCGTGAGCCGTCGTGTTGTACTTCAGCGCCCACCACAATTTTGCTGCCTGTGGGGAGGCACTCCAGTTGGGTTACGATGATGTTGCGTTGCGGTAGTTGCAGTGCCTCTGCTGTCTCACTGCAAAATGTTTCAACGATGGCAATTCGCTTATTATGCAGGATGCGCTTCCATTCTTCACCGCTGAACGTTCGCTTAAGCTGCTCACCTGACACCTTGGACTCCTCAGCGTTGGCGTGTGTCATGGCGTGGAACAGTCCTGCCTCAATGTGCTCGTCCTCCTGCAGCTGACGCCGTCGTCGTGCCGCCTCATCGTCAGAGAGAGACTCTTCTCTCTGTTGGTGCTGTTGCAGAGCGTCGTCCAGTAGTCGTATCTGCCGCTCCGACAGGTAGTAGTTGTGCTCCGCCCACTGGTCCTGCGTGATAATACCAAAGTCTACAACTATACTTCTGCGCAAGACTGTCACACAGTAGGTGGTGGGTTTCCAGTTGTGGAAGGCGGCACGCAGATATTCCTTCTTTGCAGCACCGGCAAAACTGCCTTCGTAGCGCTGGTTTGCCGTTACCTGCTGGCAAGAACTACTTCTGGAATATTGCCGAAGAGAAGAGCGTCGCTGTCGCTCTGCTCTGCAGACCCGCAACTGGTTATCTGCCTTGTCTATGAGGTCCTGATATTCAGCCATACGCAGCTGCTGTTCATTAATTTCCCTTATTACCCCTCGAAGCTCCTGTTGTGATGTCTTTTTTGTCTTCTCTAGCTGGCGCTGCTTCACAGTTGCGTCACTGCTATCCAGTTGGGCCAACACCCAGTAATAGATGGGACCCATTGCCTGACTAACTTTTACCGCACGGTCATAGCGAAAACTTTTTCTTCGCACACACTCGCGTAGAATGTGGTCGCTGCGTTCCCGCGAAAGATCTTTGTCGGGATCGTAGTTGATAATCCGCATCTTGAAACGTGGGCTTCGCAGAACACGCTGCATCTGCGGCCAGTTCTTGGCACTATCCTCGGACAGAAGCAGCATGACGGCGCGGAGCATAGTCAAGACCATTTTTGCGGGGCTCCGGTACGACTTCAGTTCATGCCAGTGATAGTATGATATATTTCTAACATCGACGCGTGCAGCGTTGACAGTGTCACGCGATTGAGAAACGTGCGCGTCAGCCTCTGCTATAGCCTGCATAATACTCCTTCGACGTTTCCGTAGACTGTCTGTAAGTTCCGCCGCACGCTGCATACTAAGTTGCATCTCGTCTCTCACTTTTTGGTTGCGCTCCACCAGCGCACGTTCCTCCGTTGATTCCATTCCGTCAAAGTTGTCGGCCCCCTCCTCATCATGCTGCTTTTCCCAGAGCCTAACCTCAACGTCGTGCAGGTACGGGGCGGACTCCACGCTACCCAAAGTCCAGTGAGCGTCTTTCTCACCCGGACGCTGCGTCATGACGGCCACCATGTCCCCAACACGCAGGGCCCCTTGTCCCTGCTGTGTAACCACGGTGTACTTCGCAGGCATTGCGACTGTGTGGCACAAAGTGGGCGACGCTTCTTGTATTGGTCCTTCGTTTTATCCGACTCTCTCTTACTAAAGACGGTCTTGGAGTTGTTTTCTGTTTCCACCACGGCGGGATGCACACACCGACGGAACGAATTCAAGATTGTTCTCCTCCTGTTAGTGCCTGTGTCCCTCCCCTCCCACCCGTTTCTTCCTGTTTCCCGCCGTTCTGTCAAAAGTGAGGAGAGCAGAGGATCTTGTTCTTGTTGATGCCTCCTCCCCTTGCTTCTTATTTGTTCTTCCTTGTTTCTTCGATGCTGTTTTGTTTTGTTTTGTTGTGTGTTAGTTTCAGTTCTTCTGCTTCAATTTTTTTCAGTTTCTTTTGAGTTGTTGTGTGTTGTTGTTGTTGTTTTTTTTCCTTCCCTCTCTGTTTTGATGCAGCCGTTGTATCGTCTCCTTCGTCACCGCGCAGCGTATCCCCGTCTCGCCCTTGTTGCTGCTGCCTCCTGCTGCTCTACTGCCTCACCGGCCACTTCCCACCCGCGCAGCCCGCCTTTGGTGTGGCACGAATAAAGACACACTGGTCCCACGCAGAGGGGCTGATGCACGCACGCAAGTAGATACAGCTAGATCTATAGATATAGATGTAGATACAGATATAGATAGAAATACAATATACACAATATGCAAACAAGTCAGCCAACAGATGTGCGTGGGTATGAACAGACGTCAGCACACGTACGATGGCAGTCTCCTTCCTGGATCTTAATACACAGCGGCGCACGGTGAGCGTATATTTGCAGGTGTAAGCAAATGCTATTAACCGTGTGTAGACAGAAAGAGAACTGAAGTGAGTGGCGGTGGAAGACAAGTAAAAAAAAAAAAACGCCCACACGGCAAACGTATATGTAGGCGTCCCAGGCAGGCGTCAGGGAGTGCAACAGCAATAGCTACTACCACAGCCAACTAAACAGGCCAAAGGCTGAACCCTGGCGAATGCAAGTGGGGTTAGGGGCGGGGCACGGTACACAGACGGCGAAAGAGAGCACGAGAAGATGACGGTGCAACTGGGGAGAGTAAACGTGAAACTATTAACAGAATACAAAAACAACAAAACAACGCAAAATGCAGTAAATCCCTAAAACGTATAAATGTCAGACAATAGAAGAAGGGACTCAAAGAAGAAGAAGAAGTGTCTGTTTGTCCCGTGCAGCACACAGAAATACAAGAAGCAAGTGCGCGTGTGCGGAGCAGAAGGCGGGGGGACGCGAGGGGAAAGTCAGACGCCCGGAAACAAAAACAAAAAAGACGCAAAATCACACCTCTGGCACTCCCCCACTGGGTGCTCGTTTCCTTCACTTCTCCAGTCACCCACCGCGTCGCCGCTTACATCGTGACGTTCTTTTTGTTGTTTTACTTTATCTGCTTTTGTTTCTGCTTCTCTCTCTCTCTCTTCTATGCTCCTTCCACCACGCGCTTCCTCAAGGCCTGCAGCATGCGCACACGTATGCCTTACCCTGTCATCCCCATCCCCTCACGGCAAGCCTCGTCTGGCATGGCGGCGTCAAGCGTAAAGAAGACAAACGGCTTTAGACGTGTGCTGTACGTTGTGTCACCGGTACTGCCAGTTTCCCTCATCGGCAACACCGCGTCCCCAGTTCCCGGCAGAAACGGTGACTTCGAAACTGCGGCAAGCGGGGCACGTCGGGGCCCGCCAACGTCGCCGCTGTCGAAGACTAACGTATCGTCCATAAAGATACGAAACTGTCGCACCCACGCCACGTCCCCGCCCTCCTGCAGCAGTGGGTGTTTTAGCGTCAGAATGGAGAGACAGAACGGGGAATCTGACACGTATACCAACGAGAGAGAAGCCTGAAATACCGAAGCATGAATGCCCGCCTGCGCGGCGGCCGCGGCGGCCTCAGCGTCTTCCTGTAGTGCAGTAGGGTGAACAGTGAAGAGGCACTCCGTCACAAAGGTGTGGCTTGCCTCCTTGCCGCAACCGTCCCAGGCATCCCTGAAAGAGTCCTCCGCACGCTTCTCCCCAGCACGGCTACTCACGCGGATGGTCTCCCCATTCTCGTCCGTAAAGGTACAGGCACTTAGTGGATGCATCATCCATTCCTTCGCATACTTCTTAAGCTCCACCGCACTCCGCGCGCCGAGCAAAAGAGACACCTTCAATACATACGCAACAGGGAGAAGTGGGGTGAGGTAGGTCTGATACTCTAGCAGCCACTGCGGTCGCGGCTTCAACGACATGCGAGCTCGTCGTAGGGCCATCTCTGCTCGTATGTTCATGGAAGCACTCAAGCTGCGCATGAGTGAGCTGTGCAATGTAACGTTCCCTGCAGCCATAGCCCGTAGTCCTGTGGACAACGACAAGTCATACACCTGAAATCGTGGAATGGAGAGGAAGGCTGGTGCCTTGCGTAGACTCACGCCTGCCTCTGGTGTAACTTCCACGATACCGTGCGATGTCAAGGTGGTCTGCATAAATTCAGCATTTTCAGACCACAATGTCGAGTACGCCGCAACAAGGGCACTTGGGGACCACCCTGGAGTGGCAGAGGAAACAAACAAACGTGCTTCCTTTACTCCACTGAAGGTGTGCTCGCCAAGGGAGTAGTTTGCCACCTCCACAAACCCCAGCGTGGGCAGCGGGGCGTCAAAGACAAAGATAAGTTCAATACATGGTTCAAATGGAAGCGTTAAGGCGGTCTCAGCATTCTCGTCAAAGAGGTACACAAGATTGTCCTCCCAGGCGCCAACCTCATCACTTATCTGCGCCTGTGCCTGCGACGGAAACATCACGTACCAGTGAGAAATATGCTGACTCACCATATTGCCCTGTGCGTCACGAAAACGTAACCCACTCAGTCCAATCTGCTCCGTGTCACCCCATGTACAAAGCAAAAAAAAACAAATAGATGTCACATCTGTAGGACATCCAGAATGCATGCTCAGAGATCTTGATAACCGGCTGCGCCCAGATCCACTAACTGACGTTGTATTTTTTGCAAGAAGTCCTGCAGTACTGCGGTAGGGGAAAGGGTGTTCGTCCAACTTCACAGAAAGGGAGGCAGGGACCACCACGCCTCTCTCGCCTCCAATGCGATGTGACTTATCTTCGTTGGCAGCGCCAAACAACACTGTGGCTATCGTTGCTGACCGGTGAACACAACCGTGTCCGTGTGGAGGCATTTCAGCAGCTGTCGCTCGTTCCTTCCTCCACGGCATATCTTGAACAAACGCCTCCGTTGGAGGCACGGCCAGCAGCCGCCGAAGCACCCGTGAATCCTCTGTGAAGAGGATATTTTCACAGTTTTCCAGACCAACGCGATGCAGAGGTAACACCGCACCATTGTTGGGGACAATTTCACCGCGAAAGACAAGTTTGTCATCGACAGTCATCTCAAGCAGGCGCACCCCCTTATCCGTGTGCACCCGTCCACGGCCGCCGTAATTGTGAACCCGCACCATTGAAATGACAACGCTCCTGGGAAGGACAAAGCAAATCTGGTGATGGGCGTTTGGAGTAAACGGCATCACAAAGAGTTTAGTGTCATCGTGGGTGTTGTGAATTCCATTCACCAGGTTTTCCACACGGCAGCGAGGGACTTCGTTATTAACGTCAGCTGCTGCAGCTGTCGCCAAGTGATGGACGTTTTTGGCGGGGTACTCCACCATCACGGTGAGGCCACGCTGTGGCGTAATGTACGAGGCTGCATAGTGCCCGTCCACCACCCGTATTCGTTCCTGCGGTGCGCTCTCGTCGCCCTCTCCCGCAACCGGAAGGGGTGGACTCAATGAATGTCGCAGGCACTCTGGCGGAGGAATGAGACGCTCGCCATTTTCGTTGAAGACTTCTATCCCATTTATCCCCACCTCGTGAACGTCGCCCCAGGTGGAGAGCAGGCTCACAACGATGAATCGGCCCTGCGGCATCTCCGGCGTGAGATACGCCCCCGCGCTCGCTGTGTTACTCCGTGAGCCGTCATCGTCGCTATTGTGCTGAACAGGTCGTGTCTCTGGTGGCAGCAGCACGGTGGCGATTGCGGAGATGCTGGAGCTAGGCCCTACCCTCGGGGATTCGGCAGAGAATGGGATCGTTTCGCTGGTCCGACAGTCCAAGTTGTCGCTATAGCGCTGAACAGGATTCATCGAGCATTGGCCAAGTGGCTCAGGGCACTCGCCAGCGCCTCCTCCAACGTCATGGAAACTTGTGCTGTGTACGGGGGGTGGGAAGGTGCGGAGGTGTGTTGGAAGGCCCATGCATGACAGCTGTCCCATGGCATGATCGCCACACGTACCTGGTGCTTCACTATAGCTACTGCTCTGATGAGTGGCGCTGCTGTCGAAGTTGGATTGGCCCTCCCCAACGCCGTCGTGGGGACCCGTCAACGCGTGGGGCGGCCCACTGCCCGGTGACAGGTTGTACATCTATGCACCGTTCTCCTTTTCGCTCCCTCTCGCTCTACTTTGCTGCTTTACACTTTGTCTGCCTGCAAGCAAATAATATATGGTTATAATATATATATATATATATGTCACGGTCGGGCTGATGCACACGTCACCTCGTTTGCCCTCTCTTCTCACAGAGAGAGGAGTAGAGGAGGAGGGAGGTGCAGCAAAGACACGCGTGCGGCGAATCAGTCCGAAGTGAAACCAAAGAAGCGGCGCTGCTGACAGCCGCGTGTGCTTCAACCACCGTTCGGTGAATGCAGTCAATCACGTGCTGACAGCCCGCGTCGCCCCACTGAGAAGCCAAAGGAGGCACGGCCAGCCAACAACAACATACAAAACAAAACAAAAACAAAAAAAAATGGTCTACCGCTTGGTGAAAACAGCACGTAGTAAGACGGGCACCAGGGCAAATCAAATAACAGAAGAAGAAAATAAAGACAAAAAAAAAAAGAATCAAAAGGGGATCTACAGGAATTGTGGCAAACAGTGCGTAACAGTCAGATAAAACGCAGCATGGGCAACCTGCCCCCTTCACCGCTGTGACGCACACTGACATGCACAACACTTTATGCAGGTATGCAGACACATGCATGAGCGCGGCTCAAACGAGAAGAGGGGCCAGCGAGAAAAAAGTCTCACCTCACCGCCTGCAGAGTAGAGATATATATGCGCTTTCGTCTCACAGTGCCTCCCGCCCCTCATCCCCCCCCAAGCCGTGTGTATTACCCTTCTTCTCTGGACGGGCAGATGTGCTCAGTCAGTTCGCGTTTTCTGCCGCGTCCCCCTAATATTTGTGAGAAGACGGATTCCTTCCCGCACCACATCCACGAACCAAATGTACTGCAGCATCTGCACCAGCACAATAAGCACCATCGATATCAGCACCGGGACCTCGCCGTGCAGCAGCGCCCCCCCTGCGTGATAGTTCTCCACTAGCTGTGTGCAGGTCAGCTTCAGCCACGACACAGTCACGACAGTGCCACCCAACACACGAATAAGTAAAAACAACACCGCAAACAGGGCCTCCATGACGAGCACGAGGGAAAAACTCGCCTTGAAGTCTAGGGTTCGCATAATGGTGGAAATATGCAGCGGGGCGTTGCTAAGCTCAAACATGCCCGTAAAGTACGACCCGTGGTTGTCCGAGAAGGGGAAGGATAACAGATACGCTCCCAGGAAACTCGCAATGGCGTGCACCTTCCACATCAGGTTCCATCCATACACAAAGCATACAATGATGTCCCAGGCAAAGTAGGACACAATGGAGATGCGAAAAAAACGATATCCAGGAATCTCCGCATAGTAGTCCCCAGACAGCGCAAAGTTGTGATCACACATGTTAGAGACGAAGCAGACAGCCGCGCCAAACATCAACAAACCGTTCAACGCGCTCACAGTGCGCACAACAACATCATCACGCACCCGCTGCGTGAGCCGTGTAAAGGCGTCGCCCAAGACGTGCCTATACAACAACGTCAGTATCCACTGTAGGGCAAACCAAAACCCTAGCATCGGTAGGAACACCGCGTAATCCCGCACGAGCGGTGCAATGTAAAGATCATACGGCCCGTACAGGCCCATTTGTTCCTTTTAATTTCCCTTTTTTTTCCCCCACCCTTTTATTCCTTATTTAACTGTCAGAAGAATGAGCAAAAGACGGGGGAAAAGAAGTGCCCCCTCGTTTGTGTGATTCTCGCCCTTCCTACTTTCCCCGCTCAACCCAACCTTCGGTGCTTGTCTCTCCCCTCACCCACCTCGTACCGCCGGGTGTGATACAGCGAGTACAATTTGGTCGCGCCTCTAGCTGTTGTTACCTGAGGTGGCGTGCAACAGCCTTGTGTGCGGCACCTCCAGAAGACCTCTCAGACGCCGCGCGTGCGATGGTGATAATGCCCCCACCCACCACCCTCAGTTTCCACGAAGGCACGGATGCGGCGGACGGAGAAACGTGTTCCCCTGAGCTCACGTACTCTTAGTGGCTGCGTTTGTGTGTGCCGAAGAAGGCAGGCTTCGCGGAAGATGCGAAAAAAAAAAGCTTGCCGAATGGTCTGCCTTGTGTCAATGTGTTCCCCGTCTCTACACAAACAAAAAAAAGCAAAAAAAAAACGTGTTTTTCCTCTTTCCCCCCCACCCACCCCCTTTTTTTTTCTTTACGGCGAGCAAAAAAGAGACTGTGAGAGGAAGAGATACAGAGAGAGGGAGGTGGCTTCCCCTGGCGGCGGTGGTGGTGGTGGTGGTAGCAGGGGAAGAGACAGCCGCTGTGAGACTCCAAAAATAAAAATGAAAAAATAAAAATAAAAGACCTCTCCCTTTTGATGGAAAGACTGGGCTGCGGTGGGAGGGGAGAGGCAAACGCACGTGCCTCCACACACACCCACACACACGCAAAAAGCGAAACACGGGCTCAATACAACTCATCCAGCTGTAAACGCCCCACTCCGCTTCACTTCCCCACCCAGCCCAACGCCACTCCCGCGTGGAGCGCTCCCCCCTCCGCCCCAACTGACGCTCCTGCCGAGACGCATCACTCAGCACATGTCCGACATATCCTACATGAGTGCACTTATATTCTCGTCTCCCCATTAAACGCGGGCGTCTGTATAGTATTCGCGCGTGTATGTTCACAATGTTACTGTGGTAGGAAGGTGGTGGTTTCGAAGGGCTCACACCTCGTAAATGGTTGCTGTGCCACATTCTGTCCTCATTCTTCCACGCCTCTTATCCGCCGTCGTTTCCCCTTCCCCACGTTAGTTTATATTATGTGTACCATTTCTTCGCCTTCGTTGCTGTTGTAGTAAGTCCATTGCACCCGCACACGTTCGCTCAAATTCCTTCTTTCTCTCGCTCCTTTTTCGGTTTGGGGCAAATGACTGAATTGTACTTAGCTCCGTTTTATCCTTGAATTTTGTTATTCTTTTTTAAGTTATTGTTGTTGTTGTTTGCTCCGCTTTTGGATTCGTCATTTATTCACCTTCTCCTCCTCCTCTAGTTTCTCCACCTTCGCCCCGCACCTCAGGCAGGCGCCGCGCTACGCTGTGCGTTGAACTGCGACCAGTACTTGTGCATTTCAACCGCCACGATGCAGCTGTCCCGTACAATCGGCTCCTGGTGTTTGGCATACTCCGCGAGGGTGTCCAGCACCGCGGGATCGGCGATAGCGCCCAACGCCTCCGCCGCCTCGTGCCGCACCATCGGCGCCTCCTCCTCGTCCTTCAGCGCCGCCACCAGCGCCGTCTGGCTCGCGGGGTGTTCCATCTGGCCAAGGACAAAGGCAACCTCGTGACGCAACAGCGCACTCGCCGTATCCTCGCGGAGCGCCCGGGCGAGGGCCATCACGGCCGCCTTCGTGCCCATGTTGCGCAGCGAAAACATCGCCTGGTAGCGACGCCAAAGGGAGGTAGCGCCGGTTGTGTCGCACAGCAGACGCTCGAGTTCCTCGACGGTGGATGGGACAGGCCCGTCGGTGTTTGCCTCGCAGAAGGCAGGGGCAGGATCGATGGAAACGTACGGGCAGTTGGAAGGTAACTTCAGCGCAGCATCCCCACGTGCCTCACGGGTGCGAATTCGCCCCAGCGCCAACTCACATGACTCTCGAATAGCCACCTCGGGCTCATTCGCGGGGTCCATGTACCTCTCCAGGATGGGCGTGCTTAAAGAGGAGGCAATTGCGCCGAGCGACTCAATCGCCTCGTGCCGCGTGACAGTGTCGTACACGTCAGTTGCGTGGATAACGCGCTCGAGGACGGGGCAGGCCTCTTCCAGGCCACTTTGGCCAATGTTGTACACCACTTCGTGCTGCAGAAGCACCGAGTCGGTTGTGTCAACGGCCTTCGCGAGCACGTGAACTCCGGCAGGGGTCTTCAAAATGGATTGCTTCAGCCGGTACAATTCACGGGTGCGGCTGTCAAGGGGCTCGGCGGGGTCCAGCAGCCGCTTGTAGTCTGCCTCATACGCGGCAAAGTCCTGTGTCATGGTTTCCAGTGCAAGTATGTCGCTTGTGTGCGCTGGAAGCAAAAATAAAAATAAAAATAAAAATAAAAATAAAAATCACACAGTACACACACACACGTGCGTGGCAATAATTCACCGCACAAGCAAAGGTCACCCGCCGCGCACGCGGCGTCAGGTTTCACGTGCGAGCGTGGCATGGCCGCCGGCGGGGGTTGCCTCGTTGCAGCGGAAGCCGCAACGCCACAGCCACAGGCACGCAGACACGCAGAACATACAAAGAAAAACAGAGATAACATGCACACCTGTGAGGTCCCTAAGAGGGCAAGCACAACCGCGTGCAGTGAGTGCATATGAAAGGCGTGACGCGAGAAGTGGAGGTTACGCGACAGTTAAAAGCAGTCCGTATTTTTTCCAGGCGCACAAAGGCAGGGCTAAGAGGTGAAACGTAAAAAAAAAAAACAAAAAAAAAAAGACGGAATAAATAGTTTCCTTCACGCCACTTTCCTTCACATCAGCGCACCGACTTTCTCAGTCAGTTGTACCCGCATTCTCTCAGCTCCTCCCCCGCCACCACTTGTCCTCCCGTTCATGCCCTTCGTCGCCGTTTCCCCGTTTCCCTTCCCTGTTCACAGAGTCACGCACACGCAAACACGCACGCAGCCTACAAACATAAATTTTAAAAATTTCACCACGCATATCCCCACCACAAAATCCTTCTCCCCCTCTCCTCCTCGCCCCTCTTCCTTGCTGTTGCGTTCCCCGCCCCCACACACCTCACGAGTTGAGGCGTCGCATAGCCTGACGAAATGTGAAGACCTCAGAAAAGAACTTTTCCTGTGACTCCACGGCGTTGGTAAGAATGGACAACGCCTCACGGACGCCCAGCTGCTTCCGCTCCGGGTACGACGCCACAAACTGCTCCACAAAATTATACCAGAACGGGGGATGAGCCTCAAAAATGGGATACACCACCCTGCTGCCCATGTTCGTGGCGCGGTCGCGAAAAACGATGATGCCCATCGCAACGGAAATGAGACGATGCCACAAATCCTGATGTGGCGCGAGCATCCGGGCAAGCTCCTCTTTCACCTTCAGCGTGAATCGCAGCGTGGGCGACCCGTGGGCCCCGCGAGACGCCGGAGAGGGCGACGGGAGGCTTTGGGAAAAGGTGTGCGGCAGCGAAGCCGGCGGTGGCGCCACGCTGACCTCCGAGGACTGCAGGTTGGGGGTAGCCAAAATCACCTTCACCTCCCGCACTAGGCTCGCAATGAAGACGAGAAACCCTAGCCCGTACGAAAGGGTGTCCGGCGAGGTATCCAGGTCCTCGCAAATGTTTATGACAACGTCCACAAGCTTCAGCAGCCCGTCGCTTTCCAGGTGGGTGAGGGGAAAGTACAAATTTCCATCTGTCATCGACTGAAGCAGGTCAAGCGCGACTAAGGTGAACTTTGGACGTTCCTTGAACACACTCGGTTCCACCATGGTTAGTTTCCGCACCAAGAGAAAGGCGTTGCTTTCATAGCGTTTGTCATTGTAGTAAATCATGGCCCCAAAGGGCACAAAGAAACCCTGAACGCATTTCCTCATGATATCCATCGAAATCATCCACGGCTTCAGCGTCTTTTCGTAGTCTGAGGAGGATCCACCAAGGGCGGCTATGCGATAGTCTGCGAAGGCAGTCTCTTCTAGCTTTTCTATCACTTCACAAAGTACCACGAACAACATCAGACCTGTCACACTGTTACTGTCTGATTTTACATGAAACCGCCCATGTTTGCTGGCGGACACAACTTCACATAAAAAGCGTATAAGCGCATTCACGACGACGGTGGAGTCACCTGCCTCATTCAGGACTGTCATGAGGTCCTGATGATGAAGACAGATCCATTCCACAAAGTCATTAAAAAGAATTCCTTCCTCATTTAATGCCTGACATGCACCCCGCAAATCACGCAACCATCCTGCAATGAAACTTGGGTTTGTTGCCTCGCCACTTAGTGTTCGTTGCATGTTTGCTTCAATACCAGAGAGGTAGGAACCCAACTGCGCGCAATTGATTGATTCAAATCGACGGGCAAACCATAATGTTTTCATCAGGTCGGTGCGCAGCTTATACGTGCGCTCTGACTGCGCCAGGGGAAGTTCAGCAAGGGGAGGAAGGTCAAACGTTAACTCCAGCAGGAGCGACAATGGGGCATCGCGGCAGGCGTCTGAAATAACAGCTGCGGATGTCCGGATGATCTCCACCACCCCAGCATCGTCAGCCCCACGCAGCAAGTTGTGACCCGCGTTATCTAGAATAAATTGAAACAGTCGCTTGGGAGTCTCAAAGACGTTTGCTACGATCATCGCAAGGGTGCCGTGGCGGGCCCCGGAAAAGATCACCTGCACATGTGTCAGGAAGTGTAGCACCCCACACTCCACAAAGCGTCCAAACAACGCGGAATCTGCCTCGCGACGCCGCCGCTCCATGGCGCACCACACAGCAAAGGCAAAGACATGCGAACACGGCGTCACTCCAGCATCCTCCACGTTGGAGAACACAAGCCGTACAATACTTCCAGCAAGGTAAAAAAGCCACCCCGTTGACAGCGGCGATGAGAGCAGCAAGGGGCCAACGCCTTCACTGATATACGTAGCAAGGTCACTCATGCACCTAACAGGGTCCAGTAAGCAAATAGTTGAGTAGGAGGTGGCCTGTGAAAGAACTACGTTGGTCAGTTCATCGGTGTCGCCGCTGCACACTGAGGTGGGATCCACCGCGCCCTCCTCTGGGCCGCGTACCCGCGCCCTAAGAAAACTCAGCAGCACCTGAGTGATGTTGTCCTCAATGTCGCGGGGAGCTTGCTCCATGTAGGAACGCCGCTTGGATGTGCTCAGGGAAGCCCAGAAAGACAAGATGTTACTGGACGTGGTAAAGCTTCCCTCCTGGCCAAACGGAATGGATAACACCTCCACCGACAGCATAAGAAGAGCATTGAGCCACGGTTCAAAAGCGCTGAGCAAACGCAACTCGCGGTAGCCAAGCGCGTTCAAGGTTCGTAGACATGCATTGATGAGCGATTCAACGTACTGTGGAATCTTCATACGACCGTCCTGTATCATCGTCGCCTCGGTTAACATGGCGAGGGTGTACTCCAAGAACTCCCCCCGCTCGTCCGTTGAGTCAAAGAGCGTGCGATGCAAGCCGCACACATTAGCGAGACCTGAGAGTAGGGTGGCGCAGTGTGGGTAGGGCAGCCTTGCGTGCTGCCCCCACAAGGTGGCGAGGTAATGCTTGTTCAGCAGTGTGTCCTTCCACGATGAAGGGAACTGCGAAAACGGGAATTCATCTGTCTCATCCATCATGATGGAACGAAAATCAAATTGAAGGCAGCTCTCCAACAATTTCAAAACCTCCGCAATGTGTGGAGAGTTGGGTGTTAGCCCTTCCAGTTGCTTCAGCGCCGCCAGGTAAATTTTAAGCAGAGCCGCCTCCTTAAAGTTGGAACTACAGTGACGATGAGCCGGAAAAGAAAGATACGTATTTGACTTACTAGAATCGTACCGCGAAAACTCCTGCACCATAGCGCTGAGAAGCATCAAGCTCAGTACAGTCTCTGGGGAACCTTCCTGCCCCTGTATCAACATCTCCAGAGGGAAATCCACTGCAGCCTCCAGGAACGGTTCCTTCTCAAAAGTCAGCTTCGTAAGTCTGGCGTAGGCTGTGAGCAAACTTGACACCACGTGCTTGGGTGCCCCGGTAGCAACCACGCGTTTAAGACAACTACCACAATGCACCACAATCAGCTCCCGCTTTTGCTCCAGCGTCATCCACTGGCGTGTGGCGTTGAACCACACCACCAAACTCTGGGCCATGAACACAAGGGTGTACTGGCTGTTGGACTGCTGAAGAATGGCGTATTGGAGGCGGCTGTCAGTTTCCTCCTTGGTGAGCACCTCCAGCGAGGCCTGCGCGTGTCCACGGGCAACCGGGTCGGAGGCGGAGTACATCTGCTCCGTGAGGAGGTCTACCTCAGCCACCCCCTCGCTCCCCATCGTGCTCATCCCGTACGCCGGTCGCAGTTCCAAACGAGTAAAATGCAATGAAAAATGTGAGTGCACAATACCGCTGCACGCTGTGTTGTCTCCCTTTATCTTATGCTTAGCTTCTCTTCCCCTGTGAGCGTGCCGTCGTTTGGAACGTCCAGGTGACGTGTTCGCCCCTTACGGTGTTTGCTTTGCCTGCGATCCTTTTTTTGTTGTTTTGTTTTGTGTTTGTTCTTTTTGCGTGCGAGTCAAAAGTATAAAAAAATAATAATAATAATATTTTTAATTTTTTATTTTTTATTTTTTTGCTGTTGCTTCTCTTACCCGCCTCGGACCTCCGCGTGTGCGTGTACGTGTAGGTGCCTTCTTCCTTGCAACAGGCCCCGCCAACAGTAACACCTACCTGCGCTTGCAGAGAAGGCTCCTTGTCGAATACTACCACCGGACCTGCAGAGTGCCACGCATTCCACGCGGCCAGCGAGGGAAGAAAAGGCAAAACAAAACAAAAACAAAAAAGAAATAAAGAGAGAGAAAAAAGGTGGGGAAAACGCGTCCATCCATGCAGGTAGGCGTGTCGCACACACGGAAGGAAAGGGCAACGCGAAAGAAGCGTCCACACACACCCCCCCCCCCCCCACACACACACACAGACAGACACACACGCATGAGTGAAAACAACCATACAAGAAGAAGAGGGCCAGCCAGAACTCACACAAAACTGCTGCGCGCGGTTACCGTAAATGGTTCAATAATTGTCCGTATCTGCTGCCTAAACCCGTGCGAGTAGGCCAGCGAGGGTTCATCAGCCACTCGCTCTGGCGTCGGCGCGGCCCGCAAGTTCTCCGCGTATTCCGCCGGCAAAAGAGTTGGTTCTCGTGTCTCCGACTTAGACCACGACTGCAGCAGCCGTGCGTGCATGCGTGGGGTTCGAAACGGGTTGCACAGCGCCGCAGACGCCGCCTCATACGTGGTGCGGCAAAGTGGCAGAACCGCGTCCAGTGGGATGTCGCCCACAATCGCCAAGATAGTTCGTATGCCAGAGGCAGACTGGAAACCGTACGAAGTAAACCTGTGATTCCGCATGAGTCTACCGAGAAAACGAACATCCGCGCCTGTGGACACCCCAAGCACCCTCCGCTGACTACCAGGACCCTCTCCAAGCGCGTTTGAGCTGCTGCTGCTGCTGCTGCTCCTCCTCCTTTTTACGCCGCTCACGTAAAACATCCTCGCACCGATCCAACGAAGAAAACAGAAGAAAATGTAGCCGCACCACATCTTCCTCGCCAACGTACAGGTTGGCACACGTGGCGGCATCCGGGTGCTCAAGCACCTCCCGCGGAGAGGTGAAGGTGCGTATGAACAACGGATCAGTGTGACGGCCAAACAACGCCACAGCCGCAATGGCCCAAGTGGGGTAGTCCGATTCCGGCATCTGCGTGTTGCTTAAGTTTTCTATCGCCTCCTTTCTTCGCCCCCTGTGGCTCGCTATATTTGCTACCGAGCGCCGTGCCTACGCACAAACACAACAAAAAAAGAAGAAAAACCGCACGTTAAAAAGAGGACAAGTCAAAAAAAAAAACAATTGTACATGCACCACACAGAGAGGGGAGAGAGGTACAGGCGGTCTTGCGGACCTTTGACACCCAATACAGCTGGCATGTGGGGGAAGCCCGCCAGCGGGGTAACACGGTTCCGCTGCGGACGTGGGCGCTTCAGCGAGTTATTGGCTTCATGTCTCGCTGTTTTCGGTCACGCTGTAAGCACTCCGAAAGAACGCAGCTGAGAGAATCGCATCATCGCACGGAGGCTAGCAGAGGTAACGTACATGCACCACACAGAGAGGGGAGAGAGGTACAGGCGGTCTCGCGGACCTTTGACACCCAATGCAGCTGACATGTGGGGGAAGCCCGCCAGCGGGGTAACACGGTTCCGCTGCGGACGTGGGCAGATTGAGTTCAAAAATGGTGAAATCCCCCTTCCCTCTTTTATTTTTATCTTCTATCTTTTGTTTTTCGCCTATGTTTTGTATCCTGAAAAAAAAAAGCCCACAGAAAAAAAAAAGCAGAGAGTGGAGGATGAATCATGAGATGAAGAGGTATCAACATAGCACGAGGTGCAGGCGACACATTGCCCCTTCTTCTCTCTGGGCCTGCACCACGTACAGCTCATGTATTTTATGCGTGGCCGCACACACATACGGAGGGGGCAAGAGAAAAGGTTCCATGTAGTGGCCTCCGCGTCTACTTTTTTTTTTTCCGTCCCCGCCGTAGTTAGCCGTCGCTTAGCGTATTTGCCTCTTTCGCTTCCCATACACGTCCCCTGGTTTGTTTCTTTCTGTTGTTGTTGTCTCACACCTATGAAGTTGGCCTTAGGCCCCGCGTGAGGGTTGGAAACCCCTTTGGCTGCACCTTGGCGTTGTTAATTTCCAAGACATCGCCCATCTTTTGATAGTCAAATCTGCGGCCTTTCTTCCCGTACGTGTTGCGCAGCGTCTCAAGCATTTTCTTCGCCGCCTCCTCGCGGTGCCAGCGGTTAGTTAGCATGAAGGTGTGGGCCACGTCGTCAAGGTCGCCGGTGGGCACCTGATCGACGTAGGGGTCCGCGTAAAAGCCCTCCCACTTCAGCTGATCCTCCGCCTCGGCGTCAGAGTTAAACGTCACGGCGTGGACTAGTGGCCGCTCCACCGACAGCGGGTCCACGCGGTGGCTGCTGGACGCAAGATACTCCTCCATGTGCGGTGTTGTTCGCCTGTACATCTCACGCAATGCATCCTGCGATACCGCTTCGCCGCCCTCGCCAGTTTCCTCCTCCTTCAGCATCAACGCTTCGTCATGCTCCTGCTGTCGCTTGTCCTCAGCATCCCGGCGCCGCATCGCACTCTCCTCCAGCAGCTCCTCCCGCTTGCGTCGCTTGGCCTCGTGTTGAACGTCCTCCACGTAACGCACAAAAGCGTCTCCGTTGAAGTTGTGGGGAAGCGCAATGAGTCCTCTCGCCCAGTCCACATCCACGTCCGGCGCAAGCACAAATGTGATGTCTTTCCAGTCCCAGGGCGCCAACGAGGAACCAATGCGAAACAGCTCCTTCGCCCACTCCAAGCGCTGAGCATAGGTGTAGTCGTTATTATAAGCGTCAATGCCGCCTGGCTCAGCAATGGCCCGGAACTCCTTTAGGTGCCACATTGTCGCCTCCAGAAGCTGCTTTGCAATTTTGTAAAGTCGTTTCTGCAGGGCAAGCTTGGGTTGCAGTTTTTTAAGCCAAGGGAGCAGCTCATCCGCAGTGAGAGCGCTGCTGACGATCACCACACCATTAGCCCGCATGGCGTGCCGAGTTCCAACTTCCAGCGTGAGGTTTGTCAGGCCGTAGCCTCGCAGGAGCTCCTTATTGCGGTGCAGCAGCTGCAACACCACCATGGCATCCTTGTGACTGCAAGAAATCAAGACATCGTCCAGCTCTAGTTCGTTACTAATTTCAGCAATAAGTTGTTCCATTGCATTGGCAAAACGTGTGGCAGTCTCACGGCAGCGAAGGACGGCCGCATCGTTCCGTGTCAAAAAGGCGAGAAATTGCTGTGGGGTAAAGTCCCATGGAATTGTTATTGTCCCTGATATCTCACCAATATTAAATTCATTCGATATGATGAGTGGCATGGACTCCCATGCCGGGTAGCGAAGCTCGCCGAGGTGTTGGCGCAGCGTGTGAAGCGCTGAGGCGGATTGCAGCGGGGAAAGCTCACGTGCAAAGAGAATTTGATCGGCCTCCATGAGTTCATCTAGCGTGGGTGCAGGGGTGACGCTCCACTGCAGCGACATGCTCTCTGTCGCCTCATCCAGGAGTGACTTGGGCTTCTCCACCTTGCGGCGATGTGGACCAGGGCGTCGCCGCAGCGGTTTGACCTCCGCCCGCTCCGCCGTCGCATCCTCCGCGGTGGAGATGGAGTCTGTGACGCTGTCGATGCATGCCGCACGGCGCAGCAGGTCCCGCAAAAACTTGTTCACAGACCGCTCCACAGAGCCGCGGTGGGCGTCGTTCGGCGTGAAGTTGTCTGGAAGCTCAAACGTAGATTCAATCAGGGACGAGGACGATGTCGTCTCCGCCGCAAAGCCGCGCTGGACAAAGGAGGAGGGTGGCGCGCCCCCGTGCTGCGTGTCACGCGGTAAATCATCGTCCATGTCGCCGTCGGGTTTCTTGTAGAACGTCAACGTGATGGAGGTGGCCGGGGGCGGGCGCAGCGTGCCACCCTTGAAAGCCTTGGCCCAACTCAACAGCTCGTTAAGACGCGCCACGGAATTTTCATTCACCAACTGTTGGCTGCGGTTGTGGTAAAAAAAATCCGGGTGCACCTTCAAGAAGAAGGAGTGGAGCGCCTTCTTGTACATTCCCCACCCACTCTTTCTCTCTCTGGGTCTCCGGCCCGCGCAAGTGCGTGCCTGCCGCTTGTGCTTGCCCTTGGGAGAGGAAGTAATCGGGAAGCGGCAGTGCACGGGTTTTACAGCGACAGCACACAACGCGAAGAAACGAACCATGGCAGCCGCTCTCCCCCACGTCACCTGGCGCATTTGAGCTGTACGCCGCCACGGTGGAAGGCAGGAGGCTGCGAGGGGAGGGGAGTTGTGAAAGGCAGCGACGCACAACAAAAAGACGTTAAAAAAAAAACAGAAACAAAAATAATACAAAAACCGCTCATTCTTCACTTCATTGTTGCTTTTCTTCTTATCCTTCGTCGTCTCCTCCGTCCTGGAAACCATGGGCTTCTCGCACACAGGCGAGCTACGTCCGAGGGGAACGCGCCTTGCTGTCTGGCACCGCCTCCCCCTCCAACGAGCATGCAAGACACCGCAGCGTTGCAAGAGGATGCGGCGCGGTGCTCCCCACACACGCACACACGAGTAAATATGCGTGGGGATGTCTGAAATTACTTGGGCACTCTGCCGCCTCTAAGCTGCCTGCGTTTCTGAAACCTGGCGAGCCACGGCATGGCGATCCTGCTCCGCCATCGTCTGCTGTATCATCTTCACTGCCCGCTGCTCTGCGCCACGAATGGCGGCAACCGCCTCACGAGCCTTGGACGCACTACTCACGGTTACTTGAAACGACACGTGGTGCTGCAGGAGCCGCCCCGTGCTTGGCACCGACGCCGCGGAATCCAGCGTGGCAACCGACGAGGAGCCGCTTGCGAGGCTGGCATTTGTCAGGTTCTGCAACGACACCAAACTCCCACGCGCGGATGCACCAGACCTTGAGCCCTTCAACGCCGACACCTCCTGCAGCCTTCGCTCCACCTCCTGCGAGGAGACGCCCAACTCATCGGGTGAATGTGCATGCTCCAAGCAGAAGTGTATGATACGGTCGCGGCCTTCGACGCTGCCGCCGTTGTTGTTGTCGACAAAGCAGCGCAGCCCAAAGGCCACAGGGTGCACCAGCACAAGGGTTTTGCGTGAGGTAATGCCCAACGCCGTGCCCTTCACAAAATATACCACAAGAAACACATCCCACTCCACGGCAACAGTGACGCGCTGTCGGCCCCATTTTCCATTGCAGATGCGCAGCTTGTGTCGTTGGTGCGTATCCAACGAGATCGCACCTTTGGCCATCGCAGTGTACGCTAGAAACTGTAAACGACGAACGCGCTCCGCGAAGGCCTGGTTGGTGTGTGTCACGTCGCTGTTAACCTCGCCATTCTTCGGGGGCAGCTGCGTGCCTGTGTTCTCACTGTTGTGAATGCGTTGGATGTTTTTGCCTCCCGGTAGCGTCAGCTCTATGCTGTGGACACGAGCGGCGCGGTGAATCGGCGTTGCAAGATTCAACGGGGAGGAGGACGCAGTAGACGGTGGCGCGACGTCTGCGATTGTCCCATCTATCACCTCTACAATACCCTTGTTGGTGTTGCCCTCCATCAACTCCTCGTGCGACTCTGGCGGTGATTCACTCGGCGCCTGAGGCCGCTCTACAGCGCCCCCCGCTCTCTCTGTTGCCTCCACAGCAGCGTCGTCCTTGTTGTGGGTGTCCCCTGACGGCGTTGAGGTGATATCGGAAGCGTCAGTCGCTGCAGCGTCAACAGTGGCCTCCACCGCCGCCATATTTGGGGCCCCAATCTCCTGCAGCATGGCGGCGTCGTCACAGTGGTAGTAGTGGACCAGCGTACTGGTGGCACGGTATCGGCTCGCAATGCGCCGCTGCAGCTCCTCCGAGGCCTGCTGTTGAACATACGACTCCACAGCATGGATAGTGTCGTACGCGGCGTTGCTGCGGAGAAGCTCGGAAAAGCGTGGCAGTTTCACCTCGCCCTCAACCACATTTTGCTGCAGCCGTTGCGACACCACCGCGCGACGCTCGCTGGTCACCACGCGCAGCTGCATCGTCGACGACGACGAGCCTTCCCACGTGAAGGACACCGACTTCACGGTCCGCCGCGCGGACGCATCGGCATCGGCATCCTTCGCAATGCCGCCATCAACGCCCTGCTGTTGTCCATCCTCCAAAGCGGGCTGCAGAAACGACAATACATCCGCCTCCAGCAACGCACGGGCATTTTCACCAACGGCGTCGGTGCGGTGCAGTAGGCGCCAACCTCGGCAGAGGCAGTGGCCCTCACGATGAGGAAAAGAAAAGACAAATGTCTTCACGCGGTCAACCAAACTCGGTGCCGGTTTTTTGAGAGCCACTTCCGCTACCGCTGTTGCTGCGGCGGCATTACTGGTCGTGGTCGGCGTTGGCTGAAGCTGCACCGTATTCCCCACAGAAGCGGTTGTGTCCGGTGGGGGCAGCAGCGGCTCCACTGCGCCCGGTAGCTTTGCCTGCTGCAGTTCAGGTGTGTGGGGCGCGGGAGGGTCACGACACACGGCGGCAGTCGGAGCTGCGGTCTCCGACTCCATCCTTTCTCCTTCCTTCTTCACCTCCATTGTTTCTTTCGACTGCGGTGGCAGCAGCTGCGGCTCTTCCGCGAGCACCGCGACTGGCTTCTCAGCGAGAGGGATGACATCCTCGGAGTTGGCGGAAAAAAAGGGGAAGTCCGCTGCATCTTCCTCCCGCAACCCGTTTGGCATCTGCGCGGTCTCGCCGTCGGCAGCAGCCAAGACAGCACCTATTTCTGCCATCAACACGTCCTCGCTGCCATGCCGCGCGTGTACCAACTCCTCCGTAGTGCTTCCCGCATATTTTGCAGGCAGTCCACAGTGAGCAGCGTCAAGCATGGCGGCAATCACCTCCACCGTGTCATCTTCCGACCGCCGAAGTGCCTGCATAAAAAGTGGAAAGGCAATGATCCCATCCTCCATGTTCGCATGCTGCTGCAAGCGTTCAGCCAGCGCCGAACGGTGCTCGTTGGAGACGATTTGTAGCCGTGTGGCGCCATACTCCGCGTCATCGTCCATGCCCTCAGCCGAGGGCATCACAAATGAGACGGAATTCACCACTGCGTCTCCCTGATGCGTGTCCAGAGGCTGCAGCAGCTTCCACACATCACGCTCAACACATGCCCGGGCATCTTCTCCCACAGAATCGCCGCGATGCAGCAGTCGCCAGCCTCGACAGAATACGTGACCAACGGGGTGATAATAGGACATAACAAAGCTTTTCACACAACGTCCTTTTTTCGGCTTAAATGCTACTGCTGCTGCCGCTGCCACCTTACCTGCAAAACCATCGGCATCCTCGCTCTCCAGCCCCACTGCTAGTCCGTCACCCGTAGCTTCCACAGCCTCCTCATTTTTTGCCGCCTCCAACTGCGGAACTTCAGCGGCCCCACGCGAGACATGCGCTTCCTTAGCTTCCGCATCACCTACACCGTCACCATGTTGGCGATAGCCCATGCTGCTAACATAGCATCGTGTCAAACTATTCTCCGTTTCCTCCTTGCTTCCTCGGTCCCCCGCGGCGTCCATGGCGGCAAAGAGACAACCAAATTTAAGCGCCTTGGAGGAGTGGGGAGAAGAGGCAAAAATAGATGACGGTTCACGCTGAAAAGAAGTCAGCGTGCCGCGTAGGACATGATTATCGTGCGATCGCAGTGGTGTGACCTCGCAACCAGCGCTGCAGCTTGGATCACGCGCCCTCGCAGCGTCCCTGGCCCACGGATGCCCCTCCTGTGCAGTCGTTACAAAAGGTACGACGACGGGTAAAGCGGGTGTTGAGAACTCTGTTGCCGGCTTGACGTTCACGAGCGAGCTACGCCACGTCTCTCCCGCCACGACCTCCGCGGTGGATCCTATCATAATAGGCGGGTTCTCATTGGCAACTGCAGGCGACAGAATGGGAACACTCCTACGCCGCTGCTGTTCCTCGCTAATGTACTGCTGCTCTGGCAGTTTTTGCGGTTGCTCGGGTGGATAAAAGGGGTCTGTTGTACGCTGCAGGGCCGATGGTGTTGGCGGCACGGAGAAGAGAAACCTCCGCGGGGTCTCCCCGGCGTGGATGGAGCTGACATCGCAGGTGGCCGCCAGCTGTGCGGCCAGTGGGGAGAGGAAAGACGCGCTCGCTGGCACTTCCACAAACGGCCTCACCGCCGTCTGTGGTATCAGCACCGCTCCGCCCGTGCCGAAGTGAAATGTCGAAAAGTCCTTGTCACGTTTATTCTCATCCGCCACAGTGACGTCTTGCCTGACCCCACCTGCGTCTTCTACGGCCTCCTTTTCAGCTGTGGTTTTGTCCGCCTCGCCGTCAGCAATGCAGAAGGCTTCCGTCCCCACAGCGCCGAGATAAATGCGCAGCGGCAACGGTAGACTCGCTTCGTCGACAAGGCCGCATCGTTGACGCTCTTCACGCCGTCTCCACACGGCAGCCTCAGCCCCCTGCCGAAGCAGCATAATGGAGTCATCGTCGTCGCGGTGAACTCCGGCATTCCCCTGAAGCGACAGCGCCGAGAGCACGGAGGGGGGCACCGGCCAACCAATAATGAAGGCGTGCATAACCTGCATGCAGCCATCGACGCTGAGAAGGTTGTCGGCCAGGTTGAGCACCGTCAGTGAAGAAAGAACCCCCGTCAAGGCCGCGGAAGACACGGCGATCGCCAACCCACGCGCCGCCCTATCGGTGATACCCGTGCCTTTTAGATTCAGCGACTGCAAGTGACAAAATGCGGGTGGGGCCAGACTCTGTCGCCTCTGGGCGTTAAACGCGGCGTGTGCCGCCAACTCACAGAGTATGCCTCCCACACACGCTTGGTGAGCCAGCATCACGGTATCTAGCGTGAACTCCGTCGCCCCCTCCAACTCCAGCTGCAGGCCCCAATAGATGCGCGGGTCACGTGCGGCCTCTCGTCTACGCATCAGGAGCTGCAGCAGTAGCGAAGATGGCAGTTTGAGAATGTCAAAAGTATCTGAGACATCCAATTGATTTAGTTTAGGACAACAAAAAAAAACGTTCAGAAAAAGCTCGCGGCAACCAATGGGCGTACACAGCTTCGATAATGGCACACCGCTGAGGGTAAGCATCGTTAACGCACATGGGTAGTGGAGCTCCTTAAAGCTAGAAAACCTGCACGCGCTCAGCAAGGGGTCGGTGCCTGCGGTCGCCTCGTCTCTGCTACACGTTGCCTGCGGAGAGATCCCCACACCCTTACAGGCTGGCCTGGGGGATACGAGTGCGGCTCGAGCATCCCTGTTGTGTGCTAGCAGAAGGGTTTCCAACCGTTGGGAGTGACTTGCACCCGCAAGCACCTCTGAAATTCCACGTGCAGAGCCCTGACAGCCCCGCAAGTCCAAAAATGAAATTCCTAAATGAATCTGCGCGTCCCCGCAGGAAGCAGCGGGTGTGCCCCGTTCACTGGCGTCCCCACACCGCCGCTCCTGCGGAGACGCGTGGGTGGGTCCTTGAGGCACACTGTACCGCACTCGAGCCTCATGCTCAGCCTGCCTCCGCCTCTGCGTAAACAACGCCGCGTGCTGCCGCACCAGCGACAAAGGGAAAAAGTGACGCTCCTTCTGCAGCGAGGCCAGCTGCAACTTGGCCAAATAGATTCCCAAGATTTGCAGTCCGTAGTCCTGCAATGGATTCCCCGACAGGTGCAACTCATCAAGGGTGTCCGCTGCCCAAAGAAGCAGTTTTCCAAGCGGAGTTGCACTACGGTGGGTCAGACGATTCCCGCTCAGGTCCAATACGCCCAGTCGACGCAACGCTCGTCTTCCACCCAGGTTCGCAACCGACGATGAGACCTGTGTGGATGTCCTTCTCCCAAGACCAGGGTTACAGGATATTGAGGAGGCAGCATCACCCGCCGCAACGGACCTCGACGCCGCAAGACCTGTTGCCCTCCTTGACGACAGTGCTGAGGAAAACGACGCTGCCGTGCCGCAGCGCGTAGACTCCAACTGGCAGCTGCGAAGAAGCTCCGCTAGTCGCCTGTCCGTGAGCCCCATTTCTGCCAGTCCCAAGAAGGTCAGGCCCGACATCGTTGACAGCAGGTCCTGACAAAACCAGCTCCATTCCACATCATCCATCGCTGTGGCTCTGAGGTCCAGTCGCCGCAAGTGGGCTGCTGAGGACGGTCTCCGCAGCCGACTCCGAAGCGCCGCCCCATCCAGCAGGGAAGATGTTGAAGAGGGCCCCTCCCCAATTATCCCCCCTTTCCTCGTTGAACGGGCAAGTGCGGAGCTGCTCGCGCGCGGCAAAGACGCACAGGCCACCGTAGCAGCCGTAGCGAGCACACGAGGCTCCGGTGTCGGGACCGAGCAACTTGGCTGTGGCCCGTCATCCAAATTGTCACCTCCGTCCTTCATACCACTAGCAGCAGCGGTGTCACGCAACCCCCCGGAAGCCCGCCTATGATGAGGCTCGGCAAGCCCAATACGCATCCCAAACGACATTATTCCTTTATTAATGGAGTGTTTGTGCCTTCTGCACGTCTTCACTGCTGCTCCCTGCTGCTACGAGCACCGCAAACACCGCCCACGCCCCTCGCCGCCCCAACACACGCACACACGCTGCACGTACAGGTTCAAGCACACCGAGATGGACCCGCCTTCTAGCTACGCAACACACTCTATTACACCCCCGTTCCTTCTTGGTTGTGGCTTGTACTACAGTCCTCTCTCTGCCCCACCGCCTTGCCAGAGTCCCTCCTTCCACCACCACGGCACAGCGAGGGAGGTGCGGGTTGCAATGGTGAGAGACGTCAACAGTCAACCCAATGAACATGTAGCAGAAACAAGCAAAAAAAAAAAGAGAGACCTTCCACTACTTCGGCCGCACAACTCACAACACTTGCCTCCCCAACTGGGACAAGACAACACAAAAAACGGTACGGAGAGGCAGGCTACGCGATGTGTGCAAGTGCGATTGAGTGTGTGCTGCTCCCCCAACCAAGAGGGATCAGCAAAGACGTCCTTAACAAGCCTCTGCAACAAGCACACAACAAGGCAAAAAGAAAAAACAACAGCAACATATTAGCCGACGCAACCACACAATCACAAAGTCAACCGTCAGCGGTAAACATGCACAAATACCTTTCCACCACACCCCTTTGGGGCATGCCCCAACTCCAGTGCAGGCACAAACAGACAGCGCCAGTTCCCACACAAGCAAAACATTACACCAAAAGCACCGTGTCACCAAAAGCAAAACAGAAAAAAAAAAAGGGTGCTTCCCCCTCCCCCTCAGGGTTGGGCCGCAGGACAATGTACGACGGAGCTGATGCCAGCGTGCCACACAGGACAAAGAGAGCGGTGACAATGGTCCACCAGTTGCCTTTCACATTTCGCCTTTCAACCGCAGCCCGTTCATCGTCTGGCCAAGGTAAAGAAGAGGGTGAAGCGGGTGCCTGAGTCTTTGTTTTATGGGGATGGGTTGGGAAAGGGATGGGGTCCAAAATAGGGCACAACATCTGCGTCACCAACTGGGACCGGTAGGTTACGTCCACCCAGCCCTTCAGTTGGTAGCTGTGTGCAATACGCCAGTTCTTTTTGGGGCTCCGCGGGTAGGACCTGGCCCAATTCACGCACATGTCAGGCACCGGCCATCCACAGAGTCTCAATGCCTAACAGTAAAAACAAAGGCGCCTGATGCGCATCCTTCCGCCGACTCCTACCTCCAGCACCACAGGCAATTGATAAGGTTGCGCAGCGTTTGACCACAGTCGTCACGGCTCCCGCCAAGAAAGGCAACAACGCTCTCCATCTCTCCCATCTGAAACAACATCAGAGAGACATATTTAGTCTCCATCGCTGCGTTGCGTGTCTCCGCAAGATATCTACCACGGACAGTGCAAACAGTATGAGATAAATGGTACAAAGAGCCTGGGAGCTGGAGAAGCAACAACAAGTCAGCGGTACAGGTAGAGCAGCAGAAGAGCGGAACACCGCAGCACGCAAGTCAGACAGATGCCTGCGCAAACGGTAACCTCGTAGTCACGGACGGCGCGCTTTCGTGGACCTGCATCCCGCTACAGTGCCCCAATTTAGATGATGGTGACCTTGACTACTCTGCAGCGCATGGGGGGAAGGAGAAAAAAAGGGAGGAGGCAAGAGCGCATAGAACAATAGTCATTTGAACAAACGCTTCTACATTGTTAGCGAAAAGGGCAACCAACAGAGGAAGTGTCATTGGGTGGTAGGGCGGCCAAACACGTTTTGACTAGAACGCTTGCAAAGTTAATGCGGAAAAGGGTTCCCTCTTCGTCCTGTGGTTCTTGTTTAAGCTGTCTTTTGCTGATTGAGAGCCAATTTACTCATGGTTGAGTCTCCACAAGAGGAAAGGCAGTCATCTACATTCCGTCAACGGCTTATGGGCAATGGTCTGTCCTTATTGCTCACCTTTGGTTGCCGCCGCCGCTGCCTGTGTGTGTGTGTGTTTTTTTTTGCGTGTTTGTGCTTTCATTCACCTACCCTATTCACTTCACCTCGTTCTTTTCGTCATTTTATTGCCTTATCGTCTGTGGTTAACTGTTGTACCCCTCATACGCACCTACGTTTCGCTCGTTGCAGCCGAGTTTCTCTTTTTCTCGCCGAGTTGGCTTTCGTTGCCTTGCTTTTTCTTTGACTTCTGAATCCCTATCTTTTCTGTGCGGCAGAAAAGGAGCACCGGTACCCTACACCCGCCGGCCCTACGACGTACCGCCACTGAACTTCCAGGCATGTTGACCGACGTACCAGGCGGAGCCTACTGACCGGACCTGCGCCGCCACACGATGCAGGCCGTCAGAAGCACGCAAAGGACGCTCCCCACCACGGGTGCCATCACGGCCAACGGGTACATTTGACCCGGGTTGGAGCCTTTAACTTGAGCGCCGTGCTCAGCTGAAGTGCTGCAGTCATTTCTGAAAGTCGATCCAAATTTGGATTCTCCCCCTGCGCTCTTGGTGGAGACAACCGCAGTCTTTGGGGTGTTTGCTGCAGGGTGCTCAAAGGCCTCATCCGTCGTTTTCTCCTCTACTCTTATGCGGCTAACCACGGGAAGCTCGTACCACAGATTGGGGTCGTTGTAAAGCACGAGAGGGGATGGCTTTTGCTGTATCTCGTGATGCGAGGCCTGAATCAGATATGTAGACGGTGCATGATGCAGGTCACGTATGATGATGCGGTAGTTTTCAATTGGCTTAAAGATGGCGTCAAATGCGTCGAAGAGGGGGGCCAAGTTTACCCGACGACTCATTGCCTGAGCAATCGACATGCTTTGCAACGGTTCCAGCTCTTCTACAGCCAGAACCACGTCTGTGATGTCCTTCACTATATCATCTTCATAGATGGCCTCCATACGCATGTTGGGAACCTCGTCTGGGCACAAGTTTAACACTTCCTGCCTGTATTCCTTGCAGCTCACGTAACAGTAGGGCACCGCATACCGTTTCCACACTGGGCCATAACCAAACAGTATGTCGCTTGCGGACTTTAGTTGCTTCAGTACCTGGGCAAAGTCGTAGTGGAACTCCATCAAATCGCCAGGGGTTAGATCATGAAAGTGCCGTGGTCTGTAGTTCGTCACCAAGGGTGCTACGACAAACTGTGCCACGGCCGTCTGCGGTTGGCCACTCTTCCCAAAACGTTGGTCAACCTTAATGTGTGGAAGCGACGTTTTGCACCGCTCCCGTAGCGGCAACATAAATGGGGAAATGCTGTGCAAGAGTGCGTTTGCAAAGGCCTCAAATGCGTTTTTTTGCGCCATCTCACGTTTTTGTTGCGCTTTTGTGGGTTTTTTCCACCTCCGGTTGCCTTTTGCCGTTAGCGGCGGAAGCGGCCTACCGTTTTCGTCCAACTCTGTGACGGCAGATGCGGGTGCAGGGGGATGCGTGGGCGCCGCTGTGGTTGTGGATGTGGATGTCGTGTAGGCGTGTCCCTCGCCCCCACCACTGGCGTTGGACGGGGGAAGCAGCACTCTGGCTGCGTTAACCCACTTGCCGCTCACTAGTGGCCGTACCTCGTCTGCACCCGGCAGCGCAGGGAACCGGTTGGCGTCCGTGGCCCTAACTACGCTTTGTGACTTTTGTGGTGACGTCCGATCGACGCTGGGGTTACGAACCGGCTTGGGGTGGCCTACGTGGCCTCCCTCCAACCTGGCGGAGGCGGCTTCCTGCTCACTGTGCATCTGACGCTTAATGAGCTCCTTCGTGAGAGCCATGACGCGCTCAAACTCCTCCGCCCAGTTCACCCCCTCCAGCTCCACTGCGACGCCACCTGCCAAAACCGCAGACGGCCCTGCCCGCGTGAACGAAGGATAGTACACCGGCGACTCTGTGACGGCGTCAAGAGTCCGCATATTCCGCTGCTGCTCTTGTTGCTCTTGTTTTTCCTGCTGGTTTTGCGGCAATAAGGGTGGCACGGTACCACCATTGTTGTCGTCGGCGACGACGTCTGCGGCGGCACTGTTTCCTACGACAGAGTCGCCATCCTTCTCACTCGTAGAGGCAGGAAGCCTGAACGCTGCAAGCTCACCAGCCGGCCGCCACTCCTTCGCGTTGGCATTCAACTTCTGCGACATCCTTGTGCCGCTGCTCCCACCCTCCCCACCTCTTTCCTTATTTTCCCTACTCACTACTCGCTCTCTCGCTGACTCGCAATACGTGCTTGCGCGGAATGGACCCGCCGACACCAACTTTTTTTAGCCACCTGACTGCGCTTATGCCACTCTCCTTTTTATTATTTATTTATGTTCTCGTTTCGCTGTTGTTGTTGTTGTTGTTGTTTTGTTTCTTTATGCTGGTGTTGCCTTGTCTCTGTCGCGGATGACAACAACCCCTGACGGGTGGAAAATGTACGCGACTGTGAAGAGATTTATCCGCAACCACAGATATAAACAAATATATATAATGAAATATATATCTTCACGTGTGTGTGCGTGTATAGACACTAGAAGTACTTGTGTGGCGAGAGTTTAGAGGGAGATCCAAAGAGCCAAAGAGAGAGCGTGAATGAGTGCGTGACAACACGCAAAGAAACAGAGACGGAGACGTGTGTGTGTGTGTGTGTGACAAACAACGCGCTCGCCGCCTCTGCATGTGAGTTGATAAAAGAATAAAAATCAACAAACGGGAAACTCTGCCGCCTCAGCAGGACTCAGTCAGGTACAAAGAAGCTCTGAAAGACGCTTGGCATGTAGTTGTTGTACTCCATCACATGCGGCAAGTCACGGTGCCAGCAACGCTTAAAGTGCAGCAGCAGCTGATGATGAAGTGTGTGAAAGCCCTCCTCAAAGTCGCGGACACCGGTCCATGGCTTGTGAGCGGCTGCATCACGATCGTTTTTACTGTGGTTTTGGCTCTTATCACTGCCGCCGCCGCGCAGCTCAAGCACCTCCGCGCGTGCGCTGCCAAGGTGATGCTTCGCACCTCCCTCGCACTTGTCTTTGCCCGCTCCGCCCTTAAGAGTGTCGTACAAAACCTCCAGCTGCGGTAGATAAAACGCGTGGTCCTTCTGCAGCAACAACTGCGCGGTGAACTGGATGGAGACCACGGCAAAAAGATACCAGGTCTCCTCGCCCGCCGCCAGAATCCGCCTGTTGAAGGCCATCATCGCCTTGAAGTCGTCATTGTGCGTCTGGGCAAAGTGCAAAAACTGCCGCAGGGCCAACACGCCACCGCCGCGAAAATCTGTCGCGGGGTCAAGCCCCTGAAAGCCGAACTCCACCCATGCTTCGCTGCGATGGGAGAAGTCTGCGGGCGACTTCCCCGCCGCCTCCCACAACTCCCTCAGAAGTTGCATGTGCCCTGAGTTGGTCGCGTCAAACGCGGTGGCACGCTCCTTCTCCAGACGAGCAGCCTGTTCGCAGCAGTGGCAAAGCTGATGCAGCAGCTCCTGCACGTGCGCATTCTGGATCCCGGGCGGCACAGCTTCCGCCAGAACACCCGGCGCCAGCAGACGCTGCAGGTACGCCTGCAGCGTGGGATCAAGCAGAATTTCTTTTTCGTTGCCAGAGCCGCGGAAGAAGTACACCAACCCGCCCAGCGTCGCAATCTCCCCACGGGCAACGAGGCCGATAGCCTCCTTCGTTGCAATCTCCGGCCGCTGACTTGCGGTGACGCCACGGAGCACCGGTGGACGCCGGACACGGCGGGGGAACGGCCATCGTTTGCCGAATGTTCGTCCCTCATACCAGTAGTACGCGAAGAACACGACCCCGGTCAGTCCGACGGCCGCAGTGAGAAGAAACACCGGGTCTCGCAAAAAGGATGGAGAGAACGTCATACTGTGCGCCCCTCTTCCTCCTTTGCGTGGTCGACGTTTGTGCTCCGCGCCGGTTTCCTCCCGTCACTTTTGTCTCCTTGTGCTATTTACACGTGAAGGCCAACTCGCGATTTCCGCCGTGAGAAAAACAAAAAACAAAAATAAAATAAAAAAGGATAAGGCGGGCAGACACACATTGCCACCGAGCGCACGGGTGTGTGTGTGTGTGTGTGTGTGTGTGTGTGTGTGTGTCTGTGTGTGTGTGTGTGTGTGTGTTGTGTGTGTGTGTGTGTGTGTGTCTGTGTGTGTGTGTGAGTGAGTTTATGTTTGCGGGGGGGCAAACGGCAAGTAAACAGGTCACAAGCTAGAACACCGCGTACATCCACGCTGGCATGCACGCTCTATTCCATTTCCGTGTCACGCACGAGAAAGCTCCAAAAGCCAGGCAGGAGCCTCATCCATCCACGTTGTGCTCAGTTGTATTCTGGAGAGAAAGCCGCCGCCCCCATCGCGGCGCCCCGTTGACTCAGTGCAGAGCCTAAAGAGGGGAAACGATCGCAGATCGTCAAAGGCACGAAGCAGCAGCACACACGTCAAGGACCGCCAGGGTGGCGATAAGCTTGTGTGTGATGTTCGCCACATCCGCTCCAGCGCGGCACACAGCTCAAGAACAGCAGGCTCTGCAAACCCCAAACCACAACAAAACACCACGAGGTGTGAAGGCACCTCCGTGTGAAGGTCATCCAGCGCGGCATCACGTATGCCCCTGCCGTCAGCAAGTGGAAGAAACGTCTCATTGGAAAGAAGCCCAGGCGTAAAGACATCGGCCTCACCCAACACAACCCGCACATCCCCGTACTTTCTCTGCTGCTGATCCTCACCTCCGCTTGGCGGCTCCACGCACCATCGCTGCTGTGTGGGCAAATACACAAGCGATTCACTCCCCCGCATCGCTCGGCGCGCTACGCGCAGCCGCGAAGGCGCCAACTCCAGCCCCACGTGCGTCCAGTAGCACGACGCCGCGTCGCGCCTAGCCAACAAGGACCACTCAAACAATAGCTTCCCCGTCCCACACCCAACATCTACCCCCACCACTGCATACGGTCTCCGCTGGCAGAAGCCTCTTGTCTCCTTCTCCTCCGTTTTTGCTTCATCAGAGTGTGTGGCGGCGCCAGACCGCTCGAGACACTTCAGCACGGTGTAATGGAGCTGACGAACACCCTGTGATGTAAGTTCGCCGTACAGCTGCGGGCCACCACCCGCGCCCATGTGCGTGCCTGCGTCCGCAGCTGTAGTGGCGGTCAGCATATGTGCGAAGAACTTGGCTTGCTCAAAGGCCCGTTCATCCTCTCCATCCAAAGTGTATCCGCCGCCCAGTCCATCATAGGTGGCGTGTAACTGTTGCTCAATCGTGTCCAAGTAGTCCGATATTTTGGGAGGTTTTAACGGCCCCTCGAGACGCATTTTCTCCAGGAGAAGCGGTTGTGAGGACCAATCGGTGGTCTTCGCCTGGCCGCCGACGTCACCTTCAGCGTCCGTCTCCTGGTCACCACCAGCAGGAGCAGCAGCCGCACGGTGATGAAGGCTCGTGGTGAGTGTGGCGCACGCCTCTGCGTAGAGCGCTAGCTTCGTCTCAAGAACCACCTCACACTTCGCCTGTGTTGCATGGAACCACGCATCCATCCTCCCTCACTGCGTAGCTATCAATAGAGCCCTTCACAAAAGAAGCAGCGAGGCGTAAACACATAACACCTGTCAAAGCATCCACCACCACCCCACACACACACACAAGCCGCCGCACCGCAGCGCCTCTTCCTTCAAACACAACTCAAGCTGCAGGAGGCTCCCTGTCAACGCGTCAGTGACGGCAATAAACCCAACACAAGTCAAACAAAAAATAAGAAAGCTAACAACCAAAAAAATGAGGTGATACTCTCAGGCCCCGTCTTCTATTCATCCGTCCCCCCCCCCCTCCTCTTCCTTCTCCTTTCTTATCTGTAGAAGGCCAGGAGTGAGGCAACGGTGATCCTTCACAATTCATTGATAAAAGCAGCAAAAAAAAAAAAGTAATAACAATAATAACGTAATATCTGTATCATGACGACGCATGCGCCATGATTCCTCCCGCCACGTGCATGTGTATCATCCCTTGGTTTGTCCTCGTATTTGTTTTGTCTTTTGGTGGATTGTGCATCTCTGTGTGGGTCACTAGCCCCTACGGTAACGGCGCTGAAACGCCTGAAATCGCGCGGAGGGAACGCCGCCGAAAAGGTTCAATGACTGCCCGCGTCGTGAGCCTCGTCCCGTGCCTCTCGCCCTGCCTCCCCTCGCTGCTGGGGGCTCTGGGGCTGACAGATGGAAACCAGGATAAAGTCGCGCCCTATACGGCTCCTGCATGGAAGCGTCCAAATCGAACCACGCGGCACCTTGCCCACCCCTCCCGCGGCCTGTTCGCATGAAAGGCTCCCTGAACTCCTCATGAGGTATCGTCTGACCTTGGTTCACGCCGGTTAGCAGTGAGGTGAGGCCTAACGCCGCGCTGGGTCGTGTGCCTGGGGACTCCGGCAATGAACGTCGAACCGTAAACGGCCCCTGTGAAGTCGAAGGGAACATAGTGCCTTCACCGCCCGCCGGGTGAAGCGGTTCCGCGTACCTGTCACAGTGGGTTGGGGTCCGCCAGCCGCGCGATGCTGCCGTGGGAGTAGTGTCTGCATGCGGGAAGCAGTCAGAAGCAACGCAGGTGGCATACTCTCCGCCACCCCCTCCTGCCGCTGCAGGCTCACCGTACTCCTCATAAAGGAGTCCGCACGAAAATTCGTCGTTTGTCAATGCCGTTACGGGCTCCTCTGCAAATACAATGGTTTGGTCAGCCTCTGGATACAGACCGGAAGAGGTGAAGGGTGTATGACGGTCCAAAAAGGTGTTCATTGGGTCCTTATGCACCTCTCCTCCCCACATCAGAGGGGGTGGAAAATCACTCCAGCATTGCAGCTCCCACTCCTCGGCAGATTCGGGTAAATGCCACAAGAAACACCCCTGCGGAGCCAACGTTGTGTCATCCAACGGAGGTCCCAGCTCATTTTCCCATTCCGGCACGTGCAACGGTGGCGAACTCGCCACCTCCGTCCATCGCGTATCGATGCATGGCACACCACATCCAGAGTAACGGGATTGCGCACCCCCCGACCCCACCTGAGCCTCCACAGTGCACTCCCCAGGGGCATAGTTACAATCAGGGTGTGTCGGGGCATCAAGCGCCAGTGCGTGTTCCCCCAGTCCCAAATGCGGCAAAGCCACTTTGCACGCCGGCGCTGCCCATCCCTCTGGTGCTTCTTCCCGCGGCGCAGTCATCGCAGCAGCAGCGGCAGCAGCCTTTACAGACCACTCCAACGCCGTGCAATCCACACCGGCCTCTCCGCCGTCGCTTGTTGATGACGTCAGTGATCGCCTGTCATCACTCTCGTGCGAGGTTGGCACAGAAGCATCTCCGCTCTCACGGGGTCCTCTGGGGAAACCCTTCAGCACGTTGCGACCATCGCACGAAAGCTGACGCCCCGAACGTCGCTCATGCGATGTCGTCACCTGCTGGAATCGATGCATGTTGTGGCACCGGCCGACGTTGACGCCGGTGTCCGTGCCATGAGAACCAGCCCTGTAAGAGGAAGCAGCGGGCTGCTGAAACGACGATCGAGCCCTGCTTCCACCGGTCCAGCGAAGCATCGCACAACCACTGTCAAGCTTTACGTCCTCTCCACGGTGTCCCTTCACGATGGCCTCCCCGTGCACCCTGACTATCCTCATAGCGAAAAGAGGGAAAAAAGGAAAACAACAGGAACGGTGGTATTTCATCTGTCCAGACGCTGCCGCACTGGATTCCCCCCTGGCGCACAGCAATGCCCCCACACACGGACGTGGCACACACGCACTCACATCAAAAACAACAACAACAGAAAAGCGCACGGCGGCCATTCCGCCCAAACAACACAGGTCAGACATGCATAGCAATTCAGCCACCCGTGCGCAAAGGTGCAAGTGACCTCACACACCCATTCTTTCACAGTTGAGGTGGAGTAAATGAATGGGGAAGGCGTGAGTGAGCGAGAGAAACAAGTGAGGCGCCTGTGAGGAAGAAGTAAAAAAAAAAAAGAACGACAGCAGGGAGGGGGAATACGTGTCGCCCCCCTGGCCGTCTAGAAGCGGCTCATTTCCGCCAACTCCTCCTCTGTGAAGGGTGTCGCACTGTGCGGCAGACCCTTCTCCGTCATCAGGGCCAAAATACGGTTCACCGCCACACCGTACGTGGCAACTTGGACGTCGGTGAGCAAGCCAAAGCGACGATACGCCTCCCTAAGCGCTCGTGCAGAAAACGCCCCGTTGCATGCGTTTGTTTGCTGGCGTTGCTTTCAAAAACGTTGGCGCGACAATCGTCCACACACACGCAGACTTTGCACTGTATCCCATGGCCGCTGTTTTCATCTTCTTGTTGTATTGTTGTTGTTGTTGTTTTTGTTACTGCTTCCGCGAATGCCCGTGCGCCCGCCGCCCGATTCCTCGCCGTCACACCAACCCAGCAAGGCCAAAGAAGAGGAGAAACAAAACGGGATGAAACGCAAGGAGACACAGAAACATACACACGCGCAAACACAAGAGATGAAGGAACGTACGACGACGCCGGTTCTGTAGAAGGCCAGCAAAAAAGTAGAGGGAACCCTACGGGAAGATGCACGGCAAACACGGTGGAACCCCCGTTGCCGTTGCATACATCACCAAGAAAAAGAAGAAAAGATGAAACGGCAGGCAGTATGACCACCCACACAGTCGGAAGGTGCGCAGCAACTGCCGAAAAAAGTAGAAGGCGAAGAAAAGAGAAAAAAAGGAGGGATAAGGTGGCGGCTCCGCATAAAAAAAAAAAAGACACATGCATGGTGAGAGACAGATTTATTTACGTGTGTATGTGTGTGTGTGCTTGTCTGCGTACCTCCGGCAGCGCTTACGCGAGCGTGTGCCCTACCGCCCACCCCCAATGTCACGGAAGGAACACACACCACAGTGAGAACAGCTGAAGAAGATGTAACGAGAGAAGACAAAAAGAAGGAGGTAAACAAACAAGCAAACAAAACGAGGAAATCACCATGAAGAACGCCGCCGTGTGATGAAGCTGAAGCCGCTGAGGGAGAGGGGCAAAGGAAATACGTAAAAAACATGCGTAGCCGCATACGTGCACAGTCCCTTCTTAACTCTGTGTGTACGTCCCTTTTCTGCGTTTTCCTTCTTTTTTTTTTCCTGTTTCCCCAACCACCACCACCACCACCAACTACCACGCTGTTTTACTTCATCTTTGTTTTCCCTTTTTTTTTCCACTTGCGCCTTTGCACCGTCCTGCATGAGCCGCCCGCGAAGCCTCCTCCACCACACAGGCGTGGCGTGCAAAGATAAACAAGGCGGTGAAGAAGGCACTTCGGGCAGGCGCACACACAGACATACACAACAAAACAAAACAAAAAGAGGAAGCAACGACCACCTCCAGTACACACACCAACTTAATTTCAAACGGGGCAGTAATTTCCGTTCGTTTTGAAGGAGACGTCACCTCGTTTCAGCGGCCCATGCGGTGGGGGACACGCCTCCACTGCTGTCGCCCTCGCCTTGTTCCCCGTGGAGAACTGCAACCACAGAAGGATATGTATTATGTACGCATGCACCCGTAGACACGCCGTACATCGCCCACCAAGTTGTTGATTCTTGTTTAAAGACCTCTTCATCACAACCTGCTCTGTTGTTTCCTTCTCTCTCTCTCTCTCGTTCTTCCTAGTTTTCTCTTCCTGTTTCCATACACACGTATTCCCTGCTCGGCAGGAAATACACACCCGTCGTAACTTCATCGACGTTTGTTGCTCTTCTTTTTTCCTTCCTTCCCTGCCGTCCTTACCGTTCCTGCTGTTCAAGAGTAGCGTTCCACGTAACCCAGCAAAGGACCATCAAACTGCACCCATTGGTAAAAGTCTGGCAGACCTTCAACGATTGCGCTAAGTTCAGTGCCTGCAGTAGTTGGGGAGGACACCGTGGAACAATTGCTGTCGGTACCTTCCTGCAGCCCCGAAAGCGCCGTAGGAGTCGCCACAGCATCAGCATTAACGCTTTCACGATAGTATCGGTAGCCATGTGCCCCCTCAACCAGAAGCTTCTTACCGGATTTTGACTTGTGTGGTTTCGCTAAGAAAGACCGCGGTGCCATTGAAGCTGCAGCGGCGGTGGTCGTAGTAGTAGTGGTGTTTCCGCGTAGACAAGACACTGGAGGCTCTGCTGCATTCGAGGCAGCGGCCAGAACGCCGCTGTCGGCAGCCCCTAGATCTTTTTTTCGCATGCTCTGTCTCCACACTCCCTCCAGTGCATTCCATGACATAAGTTGTAAAGCCGCGGTAAGGAGGAATAGCGGGGCGCGATAGCGACGACGAGATGTGGCACCGTTACTGCTTTTACTCCGTCCAGTGTTGGGATCCTGTGCGTCCATGCCCGAGCAAGGCACATACCAGACATCGGCGCGACAGCGACCAGGAATGAGACCTATAATAGGAATGCGTACCGTGGAATTGCCTGTCACCGCCTTCTCTGAATGAGGTGCAAGAAAGACATGCTGTGAGCCTCGTGTAACGTCATTCGCAAAAACTTCTGTAGAGACACGTCCAGAGTATCCGAACTTTACATCATGGCTTCCCACACTAGCGCTTGAGGCCTCCATGACGGCATGCATCTCACCGTTGCTATCAGTCGCTGTTGTAGAGATCTTATCAACAGAAGACACGCCCTGTTGCCTCACCATGAGGTCGCTGCTTCCCTCACAAGTTGAGGGCGATAACGACGATGGCAATGAAATAGAATCATTTGAAACCCACATGTCCCAGTGAACTCCCTGACGATCACAACGGAAGACGGGAGACATCCAATCACTGTTCATCCTCGCCACCCGACTTGCAGTTTGGTTCCATTCCATATGGCGTGGCGGTCGCAACGCATAGTAAACGATAAAACTCCCACAGCTATGTTTAGCCGTATGGCTTTGATCATACACCGGCTGCCAAAGAACAGCAAACCATGACTGGTTATCAAGCTCCGTAGTCGTTGCGCTAAGAAGGACGGAATATCGATCATTGGATGCGGCCAGTTCATGCACCTGCTCAAGGAGGAGACTACGCTGATCGGGTCGCTCCGTTGCACCCCACGTGACAAATCCAACTTCTGCATCGTATGACGCCTCCTCACTGCTATCTTGCGTGGCTCCACGCATTGTGGAAGAAGTCGGTGCCGCAGCAGACGGAGAAAAATTCAAGCTCCCTTCCTCACCACCCACCTCGGGTTTGCCCACAGTTCCAGCGTCAGGAGAGGACGATGGCATGTGAGTTCGGTGTATTGGGCCTGAGGAAAAAGCAATTGATAGGGCAACGTCCGCGTTTTGCCGTAACGACTTAAGCTTCGCGTACGTCGGAGATGCCTCACGAAAGCGAAGTCGAAATCCACTAAGAAATGGCGTGTACACCACATGCTCTTCCGGGGGCCGCATTGGCGCCAAAGAAACAGGCTCAGCAAAAGGAATCGTGCAAGCAAAGGGAAGGTCCAGCGCCTTCCATATACGCAGAAGCGGAATGGAAGGCTCCCTATATGTTGGTAGCGGTGCATCACCGCCCAATTCTTCTCGACCAGGCGCAGCCGCCATATCCCCTGAGAGCGGGACAACCCATTCCATTTCTTTGTCTGCTGCCACCACTGGGGAGACGGCGTTGAGGAAGGAAACAATGTTTCCGTATGAAGACACATCAAACGACACTTCTGAAGCTCGCTCCTCAAACAGGTCCTCCTGTGCTCCACAATGTTCATACAAGGCTGCTCCAAGAGGAGCCGTACGGAAGCTTGACGGCTTTGCTAAAGTCCCCTTCAGAATAGCACCAGCAGCAGACCCATGTTCATTAGGTCCTTCTCCCTTAGAACCATGTGAGGTCAGAACATTATCGTTTATAGACAGTGCTTGCTGCCGCATGGAAGCAGGCTCTCCGCCCAAGTGCGGATTTCCATTAACACCACAACCGGAGTCGAAAGTTATGGATGTCCCACTCGCCAAAGGAGTGTGGACGTTGTTGTCCATCCGGCTGGCTCCAGATTCCTGGGTTGCCGACGCGCACAGCGATGTGGGGCAAGACGTCATCATGGCATTGAAAGATCGTTGCTTCCGGTGCACCGGAGAAGTGCACGGAGTTTTGAGAGCTCTTGCGGACAGCGGACATGAGAGCAAGTGCATAGGATTCTGATGCAGCTGTTGCTGCTGCTGCTGATGTTGCAGATGATGAAGATGCTGAAGATGGTGATGAACATTATGCTGACGGAAATAATGATGTTGGTGAGACCGCGGTGCCTCCAACAATGTACATGAGGGAGAACCGTGGTTCACCTCGGGAGCCTCTACGCGGGGAGGCCCCTCCGCCAAACTGCCCGGTCGTCCGTTGCCCAGTACTCCTCGCGTACACTCAAGGATTTTTCGTTCGTCCTCGTAATCCGATTGCTCTTGTAGATTCCCCGCAGAAAACATTGAGACAACTTCCCTTTTGTGAGCACCTGCACTTAAACCCGGAGAATCTTCTGGGGGCTCCACAGCCCTTACCGTCACACGACCTGTTTTGATTGGGGAGAAATGATGATTGTCTAGCCTATCACTAGCCATAGTGTCCTCATACGAAGGCAGCTGGGTACCCCGCTTCTCCCCCGTGACGTGCGTCGGCGCCACAGGAACGCGGGGACCAAAGGAAGTGGAGCACAAAATGCCATCAGCGGGGCTAAATATGAGCGCCTCGATGCCACCGGGACCCTGCCCCCAGCTGCTCTTGACGCTACTGCTACCACTACCATCACTATGCTGCGCAGTGGTCACCTGTGCATGTCCCCCGGCGTAGTCTACCCCAAATCTTCTACTGGATATGCTATCCGACTCGGAAAGCGGTGGTTCCTCATTAAGAAGAAATATCTGGCTACGGTGCCCACTATCATCACTTGAGGGAACTCCCTCGGCCACAAAATCACCTGGCAGACTACTTGCCTCCTCCTCCACCGGCGGCACCGTGCCCGTGTGACACTCTGGCTTCAGCACCTCTGTGATTGGAGCCTCATTCTTATCCGTACGCGACGCTGCGGAGTCCAATACCGGGGCAAACGAGGACCCCATCCCCCCATTTTGCTGATGTTGATGCACGTAGTGCAGCCCATGGAAAAGGTCATTGTGCTGGCCGTAAACACGTTGACACTGAGGATGGTAGTACTGCTGGCGGTGATATTGATGTTGATGTTGTTGATGTTGTTGATGATGTTGTTGTTGTTGATGATGACCATAATTGTGGTACGCGGCAGCAGCCGCAGCCGCAGCAGCAGCAGCAGCCGTCGCCACCGAGGCATACGGCATAGGAGCAGGATAATGCAACGGCGCAGACGACCACGATTGCGGCGGTGGATAGCCCACACGTCCATTTTGGGAGTATGGAAGAGAAACAAACGGACTGGGGCCATAACCGTGCGGAGACATGTTCGCTCCCGGCACATTATGGCCGTACGAATTAGGGTCTGGCTGCAGAGCCCCGTTCGTGATATTCCTCGTATTCCTCGTTTCCGGCACCTGTTGTTTGCCTATTCCAGAGTCTGCCTGTATTACTCTGGGGGCGCGCCAAGTCGTCGGAGATTCATAGCAGTTAATGTTATTTACACATCCCCGTTGTGCACCCTCACTGCGAGATGCTGCGGGCCCAGCTGCAGGTACTGTGCCACTGTTTGCCGGTAATGGAAGCGGCGGTGGTGCAACCGGCTCGTTAGAGGCTTGTGACCGTCCCACTTGCATTACCTTCTCGGCAGTGTGGGGCAGGTGGCTGTGTTGAGTCCTGTCATTCTCCTGCGGCGCTGGAGCGGCGCCGTATGACTGCCTCCCGTTGTTGCACGCTACGTCATTCCTGGGTTTACTGCTTCCACCGTATCCCGCCACCGCACGACGACAGTTGACGGTGTTCATGCGGCTGGCCGAGTCACATTCCACTGCGTGAGAAGCCAAAGGCATGGATGTCATCTCCCCCCCATACACGTTGGCCCGCATGTGAACTCTTCAAGAGAAAAGACAAACAAACCAAAAATCGATAATAACAAAAAAAAAGGTGAAGAAACACCAGACCGTCCCACACACACACGTTGTAAAGAAACGAAATGAGTGACGAGTGCGTTCAATCCAGTCATGGGCGAACATCCCCCTTCGCGCACCGCCCATGTTTCACCCGCCTGCCCCAACTCACTTCCCCTCCTGCACTGCGAGGCGGCCGTATACACGTCCCTCAGCCCACACTCAACGCATTTTTATTTTCCCTTCCGCCAGTCATTCCTTCCTCCTCTTACCCACCCCTCACGTGCTGCTCCACTACTGAGCCCGACAACGCAACCCCTCACAGTGAGAAGACGCTGCGACGGAGAAAACGCACAAGCAAAACTGTCACAACAACTGCAACAAAAGCCAAACACCACCGGCAATAACAGCAGACTCGTCGCAATCGTATTTTTTAATTTTTATTTTGTCTTTTATTGGGCACTCTCTTCTCTGCAGCACAGAGAGGAGGGGAGAGGAGAGCGAAAGAGGGGAAGAGGGGGAATACGAAGTCGTGGAGGTGCACGTGCGAGGTACCTTCACCGGAAGAAAGGAATGAACGAAGTGATTGCGGCGGTGGCGGTCACAAGCAGGTGGAGGAGGCGGGGCCAAAAAAAGAAAAGATGTCATGCACCCACACACATACACGGCGCTCATCATTGGACGTTTTTTTTCTTTTCATCTTCTGTCGAGGTGTTTTCATTCCCTTATTCTTCGTTTTCTCTTTTTTTTTTTGATTTGCGTTCGGTGTGTTTCTGTTTCCCCATCCTCCTCCCGCCGTATTCCCGGTTGGCGCTGGCCCCTGCCCAGGCGTGCCAGAGAAGAGAGATGGAACAAACACACGCACGATCACACGAGGCAAAAAGCAGGGCGAAAGAAAACAACAACAAAATAACAACTCAAAAACACGGAGTATTCCAAACAGTTTACTGTTGCCTCGCCGCCACATCTCTTTGTGTTCACTTTGTCCTTTCCTGAGAAATTCCCCGCCATGTGGGAGCCGTCGTGCGGGGGAGAAGCCGCAGCCGCCCCTCACCAACGCAACCATAATTTCAAAACAAAAACGAAAGAAAAAAAAAACAGAAAGAAACCATCACCTCATTGAGGTTAGTGTCCCTCGGTTTTAGTTTTTGCTTTACGCCACGGCGTACAAGATCTCCAAGACGGATCGGGCCAAATTCTTCGCCTCCGGTAAGGCCTCATTCTGCTCCACCAATGGCCCGACGAGGTTCTCAATTTGACGCAGCTTGTCGTAGTAAAACTGGCGTTCGTTCTTCACTGCTGTAAGCGCCGCTGATAGTGAGAAGCCGTTGTCGCACCTCCCTTCACTCACCAATCCCGGGCGGCGAAAAGAGTGTGGTGGCGTCCCTGATTGAGATGATTGAAACAACCCAGTGGGCCCACTTTGCAAGGCACTAGTAGTGGGTGAGTCAGCCCCACTGCGTGAGCTCGCAGCCCGTTTTTGCACCTTTATTGGGTTGCTGGAAACTCCGTTGAGGCCTGGGCTGCCAGAGTCCACAACAAGACAGACGCCAGATCTCCTAAGCGGCGCACGTGCGGCGGCGGCGGCGTGAGAGCTGGTGGCAGTAAGTGGTGCTGCAATCTGCCGTATGCAACCTGCAGAATTGGGGCGGGCAGTGGCGCTCTCTGCGCAACTTGCCTTGTCGCTAGCCTCCAGTTCCGGGTCTCTTCCACCCTCAGTACGCTTCGTGGTGTTACTACTTCGCATCAATGATGACGAGAGCCGTCCCACAGGTGCTCCAACGCCGCCGCCGCGTGAGGAAGTGCGCACGGTGCTTGAAGGGCGCTCTCGCGCCAATGCCCCCCGTGCGTTGGAGCAGCTGCGACCCTGAGAGACCTGACATCTCTTCAGCGCCGCCTGCCTCCCCTCTGCGGTGAGGGGACGTGGAGCTATAGCATTTCCTGGCTCATTAAAAGAAGAATTCACCTTTGATGTAGCAGGAGCTGACTCGGTCACTGCCTCTTTTTTATGTGCAGAATAGAACGCGGCGGGTTCCACTAGACGGCCCAAACGAACTCTCCCCGACACCGTTGCCGTTGTCGCTGTTATCGATCCCATTGTTGTCTCAAGCTCGACCTGCGAGCCTTCGCAACCAGGAGGCGGTGGTGGTGGAGCAGCTTCAAGCTCCGCCGGTCCCCCCAGTAGAGTATTTTGCGTCTGTTCAGCATGACTTGGTGAAAGCGCGTCGTACAGGCCGCGAAACCATTGCAGCAGCTGCAGGTTCGCCTGGTAAGCTCCCTTGATAACTTTATCCATTTCCTTGTTCAGGACATCCGGGCGGGGGATACCGTTCTTATGCAAGGCGTCCACGAGAAGCTTAAGATTAACCACAGCATCAAACTCATGCTTGGCATTTGTCTTGGCCTTTGCTGTGAGCGGCGGGTACGCTGTTGGGAGCAGGAAGGGAAGCAGCAGCACATATGGCACACCGTTGCTGCAATGCTCCACTTTGTGAAGTTGGGGCGGCGGATGGCCCCCGGCGACGGCATTTTTGTGGAGCAACTCGTTCAGCCACGCCAGGAGTTCCGTACGGGAGGCTTTCGACGCTACAACCTGCAGCGAGGGAGGGGCGCGGGGGCGGTCCATGGCGAATGTGCTGCGCCTCGTTTACAAGTCTCACGGCGGGGAGAAGGGGGAGAGAAAGAGAATGGCGCCGGTGAGACGCTGCAGGAAATGCACGGAAGCAGAGAGCCAAAGAGCGGGGGTGGCGCCAGAGCTGAGCGGCACCGCCCTTCCCTAACTATGGGGGCAGTCTATGTCGTCCCGGTGCGATTCGTTTGCGCGTATGCCCTTCTTGGCGAGTTTGTAGGTTGCCGCTACCGCCTCTCTCTCTCTCTATTTCTCTCTCTTTCTCTCTATCGATCGATCTATCTATCTCACACTGTCTCGGGGGTAGACGCACGGCGCTAATCTACTTCGCTGCTTATACCGCTTCTGCTGTGGTCGTGGGCGTAGTGGTTGGTGACGGTGCTACACACAAAACTACAAGAAAAAAAGAAAAACGTGCAGGGAACAACCCGGAGAGAAACAAAAAAATATGCACAAACCGGGAGAACGAGTGGAAGGAATCTGCCTGCACACATGCACACACACACACCACCTCCGCTATGCAGGCGTGCCCACAGGTGAAGATAATGACGTGTCAACCAATACACGCGGAATGGGCCTCCCCGCAAGACATTGAAGAGCACAGGCAGACAAAAATACAAAAAACTAACAACAACAATAACGCAAGAAGAAGGAGAGATCTCAATGAACAGTGTACAGCGTAGTTTTAAAAAAGCGAGTAAAGAGTAGGACGTGACAGTTACCAGGAAATTCATTCCCGTGATGTTCATCATCTCCTTCGTGCAGTCATTGTTATTTGTTGCTCCTCTCCCCTCCCTCTCACCATATTCCTACGCGGACAACGCCTCCACCAAACCTCTCGTATTCCTCGCGCCCGTGTGAACGGAAGGCGCACACCGGCAAAAGAACAGAGTTACAGTAAGAGGTCCTCAGAACTAAGTCGGGGAAGGGGAAGAAGACGGGGAAAAGAGGATGTTTCATCGCAGAGGCAGCTGCCTGTCACATTTCCTGCACGAGTTCACGTGGGTGACGGCGTGCGACGTGCGCCAGCCACCGTGTGCGAGAGGCGAAGGTGGACAAGCAGCCATCGTATGGGCAAATGACTGTCGTGACAGTCTGCAAGTGTCCATGGGTGACTGACGGCACCGCTTCCACTGCTCGGAGCGTACTTGGAGGCGCCCCCGCCAAGGTGACTGCATTCACCTCGTCGTGTCGCGGTCGTCCACTCGAATGCTCCGCGGAGCTGGCGCCGCGTTTCATAAGTATGCGACGGCTACGTTTGGTTCTTGATCGCCGTCCAAGCTGGACCCCCTCCTGCCCGTCGCCGTTGTCACTGTAGGATGCAAACGCGTCGTCACGAAAGGGGCAGTAGCACCGCAAGTGGCGTTTAACTTGCTGTCGGCTGGATAGCTCCTGTTCGCAGTTGGGGCAGAGGAAGATTGTGTCGGCCAGCTCGCCCGTCTGCTCTGTGGCAGGGGCTGCTAAATTAGATCCCGAAGTTGTCAGGGACGAAGTCGTGGCAAATACCCGCGGTGGATGCGGCCTTACAGGACAACGACGCTCGTGCAATGTTCGTGACCCCTTGCACGTAAACTCCGTGCCGCAGAAGCGGCAGGCAAAGCCCACTGCTTCCGACGCGGCTCCCGCCTCAACTGCGGCGGCGGCATCAGCATCCGCCTTGGCATTCTCGTCACCCCCCTCCACATGTCTCTCCGGCAGAGAGGATGCCGCAGCGGATGCGGTAGACCATGTCGCAAGCAACTCCGGGTGAAGCCGCAGCACGTGCCGGCGTCTATTGGTGCTCGTTGTGAACTGCGCGAGGCAGAACTCGCACTGGTACGGCCGCTCCTTCGTGTGCGTGAGGAGGTGGCGGTTGTAGTTGGTGCGGATGCTCCTGCTTGGGTCGCCGGTCACGACGCGAGGGCAGTACGGGCACTGCAGCGAGACAACCCGGTCACCGCGTCGCCGCTTCGCAGGGGGCAACGGGGAGCAGGACACAGCGGCCGCCTCGTCACTGCCGCCCATCCGCTAGTAATACTACAGAATGCAACGAGGGCAGCAGCAGAAGCCGGGGAAAAAAAAAAAGAGGGAGAGACAAAAGAAGAAGTGAAGAGAGAAATCCATCGCCCAGGCAACGTCGCCTCTTGTGCGCCTGAGGACAAGAAGCAAAAAGGCAAACAAACAAACGTCACTGCTCCGATGAAAGCAAAGAGGAAAAGAAATGAAGGGAAGGGAAGGCGGCGGTCACGGTGCTGCTCAAAAAGAGGCGTCCCTTTCCAATTCCCTCCTCTCTCGTTTTCGCTCCCCGTGCAGCAACTCTAAAGATGACCTTGCCGCCAGAAATGGAGCAGGGAGAAGCAAGAGGCATTCACCCCGAAGGCAAAAATATGTACTTTTACTGTTGGCCGGTTGGGCTGACTGCCCATCGTAACGGGCACAAGAGAAATGGCAACGCGGGCGAGCGTTCTACAAGCCGTACCGCCATGCAGGCAAGCGGCAAAACAAAACAAAAAACAGGGTAGTGAAAAAATAAACCAAAAGTAGGCAGTTGTCTTTCATTTTATTTGCCTTCTACTTCCCTTTCACGCTTAAAGAAACTCGCTTGCACACCAGACTCCACGTGCTGCGTCTGCCACACCGGAATTGCGGCCTGCTCGTGCCTCAGCAGCCACGCTTTACGCCAGAGCCCAGGGCCAAACCCAGTCAGCGCCCACGACGCCCCAACGACGCGGTGGCAGGGCAAAAAAAGGCACACGTGATTTTCACGCATCGCCCGCCCCACAGCTCGGCTGGCGTTTGGCCGCTGGCATCTCCTTGCAAGTGCGCCGTACGTCGTGGTCTCACCCGGTCGCACCTCACGAAGTGCTGCCCATGCGGCCTGCATAAATGGCTTTGACGGGGGGCACCGCACAGACACGCTGCCCAACAGTGCGTGCAGTTTTTGCTGGCGACCAGACACGGAGTCCTCCATGTCGCCCGATTCGCCGAGGTCGCCCTTGCGGAGCGGGGGGCAACTGAAGTACCGCCGCATCTGCCGCATCGCATGCGCACGGACATCACCTGTCACACTATCGCCGTCATCCTCTTGTGCCGTCACTGCAGCATCCGCAATCACAACCTCCCGCGGCTGGTAGGCCCGCCGCAGTCGAAGTACCGCGTCTTTCTCGCAGTCCGTCCAGTTGCAGAGCCGCACTGCACCGTCAGCATCAACAAGCACAACAATGTCACCCGTCGGGGTCGGGGTTGTGTAACGGTACACACACAAGGGCGAGGCGACTTCCACCGGAGTAGGCGCACGGTTGGAGCGTGTCTGCTGCGCAGACATCTACCGATAAAGGTCTTCTACCAACCGCGAAGGCAGGCGAGTGGGGGAAGAGAGTCACATGACATCTGGGCGAGAGCAAGAACAGAGATATTGGAAGAACGCAAGAAGAAGAAAGCAATAACAACAACAGCCGCCAGCAGCAGCAGCAGCAGCGTTAGGAGACAGGGGTACTTGATTAATCGGTTACCTTTATCCGTGCGTGCAACGCCTCCTAATTGTCGACGGAAGGGAGGAGGGGAGGGGGAGGGGAACAAAGAGGCAGAAATGATTATACATCACTTCCTCCCTTCCCCCACCCCCCTTACCTCTCGTTTTTTATTATTATTTGTTATTGTGGTTTGTTTCGTTGTTTACTATTATTGCTCTTCTTTTATTTTCACTTCCTTCCGTCGCTGCGTGTCGCGCTGGGAGGGACCTCAGCCTCATCATGTCTGCTAATGTCACGCGACTCACCAGCCCGTGCGCGTCAGCGCACTCACACGTGTGCGGCCGCTACGCGCTCATGGCGTACAGCACGTCTTGTCCCGTGATCGCCGAGAGGTTGTTGCACAGTGTTCTTGCCTGCTCCACCACCGCATCGTCACGGTCCTCCGTGAGCTCCACAACAGCGGGCAACATCTCCGCCATCAGCCGCGCTGCCAACTCGCCCCCGCCGTCAGCGTAGATGCCGTCAAAGCACAGCAGCGTCAGGCGCCGCACGTGGCGGCTCGGGTGGCGCAGCGCCTTTAGCAACTCGTTCTGAGTCCGACTCTGCAGCTTGGACGAGGTGAGGGACTGAAAGAGGGCCCGCACGGCCGGGATCACGTGGTGTTCCGCGCGAAACGCGTAGTCGTGCGTGGCGTCCGCCAGGTACGACAGGTTTGACAACTGCCGCACCACCGCCGGCATGACGGAGGCAAACACCTCCGGTGTCTCCAGGTAGTTGTCGATGGGCACGCTGTGGTCGTGGTCGGGTCCAGCCGTCTGCGCCAGCGCCATGCGACGAACGCTGTCGAGCGCACCTTCTAGTGTCAGTGCAATGAGACCTGCCGCGTGCCTCATGGCATGTTTCGTGGCGGAGCAGTACCCTGTAAGAGTCCCAACAACGTACGGTAGCAGCACAGGGAAGCCAAAGTCCATGATGGACCCCAGCTTCTCCAGTAGGTGGTTGCAGAGCGCGTAAAAGAGTACCCAGCCGTGAGCAGTCATGCGGGGCACCAACGCTGCGTCATCCCGCGCATGCGTCTCGTCAGCCTCCATCGCACCGTCACCCCGCTGCTGTTGCTCCATACGCCTAAGGAAAGCTTCCGCGGCACCGCCAAAGGCCCACTCCGCCACGGTTGAGAGGTACCGCACGCACTGTTTTGCCTTAAACTTGAGAAAGAACACGAGGTAGGCCTCCAGAACGGGCTGCACAATGTCCCGTGACGGCAGGGCTGGCGCAGCGGCCAGTGCGTGAAGGGAAGCTAGCCAAAAATTGTCCTTGGTCGTCGCTCCCTCGACAAGCACGCTGAGGTGCATGAGCTCCTCACGCTTGAGGCCCTCCACACGCCGCCGCACACTGGTGTACAACAAGGCAAAAGAGTGAGAGTCAACACGCACCCGCAGGGGTCTCCTCCGTGAGACCTCCTCTGTGCCCCATGCCACGCCACGCAGGCACTCGGTGCAGGCCTCGATAAACAGGTGTGGCTCCAGCACCGCCTCCAGCATTGCCAGTATTTCCTCGCTACGGTAATTCGTCTCCGCGTCATCGACGTTGTGCAGGTGCGTCGCCGCAAACATGATGCGCGGAAGATATGGCTGACACATAAGCCAGCACGACGGAAAGACGCGCAGCAAGCATCCAAGCGATGCCTGGCGTAGAAGGGACCCCGGTTCACCGCGGGAAACAACCGGGGCGAGCTGCGCCATGGCAAACACGGACGCCTCTACCACCGCCTGAAGAATAGCGTTGCTGTGCGGCGTGGTAAAGGCGGTGCCCATCACCTGACACACCGTGCCAAGCGCCGTCAAGAGTCCGGCGGCGGCAAGCAGCGCATTCTCATCCCTCGAGACAGCCAATGCCCCTCCGCCGGCTGTTACGCTTATCTCAGCGGAACCCTCAGCAGCTCCAGTGTGGGAAAGAAGAAGCGGCAATGCGGTGAGAATGTCCTCCACCCAGCGATGCACCTGCTGCACACGGGCCTTGTTTCCAAACAGCTTCGACAGTACGGCCTCCGTCACACGGTTCGCGCGGTGCACATTCAGCAGCGTCTTCTCTGCCTGCAGGCTTCCACCACTACCGATAATGCGCACGAGCTCCTCCATGCAACCCACAGTGGGGGGAAGCAGCTGCACGAGATCTACTTCAGTGGACTGTGTTGTGGCACACTGCACAGAAGCGTGCATCAGTGACGAAAGGTGTGAAAAAAGCGCAAACGATCGCTTTGTTGCTAGTGGACGGGCCTTCACGCGGACAAGATCCATCAAGGTAAGTTTACGCTTCGGGTCACGCAACCGTTTCCGGTGCTCCTCCAGTTCTGCCTCACTAAGTGTGTTCTCCACCGTTGGCAAGGCGTGATGCAGGCGGTCCAACAACACCTCCAGCCCCTTCTGCCGCAGCGCTGTACGTGGGTCAGTCAGCAGTCGCTTAAGGCACGCCACAAAGGTGGGCTCATTGATGCCTGCAAGGACACACGCCAGCGTGTTACCGGCAAGAAGCTCCAACAACATTGTAAAGGCCTTGTTTTCCCCGTACATATGCAACTCTTCATACATCTTCTCCTGTTTCTTCACCGACACGGGCGTCGCCGCATCATTCGCGGTGGCGGCGTTAAGCTCCGCGTAGTGCGCAAAGAGCTCCAGGGCAGCAACTAACATCCCCATACACTCATCGTTGGTACGCGTCCCTGCCTCAACTTCCTGCTCCTCCGCCTCTGGTTCATCGTCGTTGTTGCTGTTGTCCGGCTTCGCATGCAAACGGCGTGAGGTGTGTTGGTGGTGCTGCAGTTCGAGGAAGCCGCCCAGAAAGGCCCCAGACTTCACGGTGATGTTGATGAGATTCAAAATTGTCTCCTGCCTGTTGACGACTTGGTTCGGTTTCACCAGCTTGCGGAACAGTTTGACGACAGCGTCCTCTTCCGCCTCCTCCACGAGTTGCGGCGTCGCCGCAACGGAAAGCTGCCGGTGTGGGTCAATAAGAAGATGCATCATTTGTGTGAGGCAGCTGAGCTGCGTGTGCACGTCGAGGCTCATAAGCAAACTGCTGCAAACTTCAGTCGCACTCTCGTAGTGGTGGTGGGCAGAGGCAAAGTCGACTGCCTCCAGGCGGATGAGAAGCGCCACCACGGGGATGTGCAGCGCAGTGCGTCCAGCGACGCGCGACCCCGCCGTCCCTGCCCCAGGCGTCGGGGCCGGCACAAACAGAGGCGAGACAATGCGCAGCAGCTCGGCGATGGTGTCAACGCGATGGCGGGACAACGCCGTCGCCGTCGCCTCCTCCGCCTCCCCGCCTTCAGGGACGAGCAGGATGGCCATCAGCGTAACGCACTGCTTGACAAGGGTTCTACTCATGCGGGCGGCACCGTGCGGCTGCCCCTCATTCAACGCCTGCGGTGAGGACACGCAAAGGTCCACCAGACGGCGAATGTAAAGAAACGCCCAGTGGCGGAACTGAGGCTGATCCACGACGTCTGCCTCTGCCAGGAGCGAGAGCAAACCGCTCAGAGGGAAGGCCTCCAGCAAGCCATCAATGAGCGCAAACAGCGACGGGGAAACGTCGTCGCCGTCATCGTTGTCAAAGCGAACTGAAGGGGAAACAGTTATAATGCTGCAAAGCAGCCGCAGTGCCAGAAGAGCATGCTTCTCTCGCGGACACCACCGCCTCTCCGCCTCGCCCTGAGAGGTGTCACAGACTTTACCGCACAACTCCAATAGACGCTGCGCATCTGCAAAGGACAAGGGGCTGTGCAACGCACACCACGACGGTGGCTCCCATGCACCCGCCATCTCTGTCGCCGGTGCCGCAAGTGCCTCCATCACCTCCACCACAACAGACAGATCCGGCGAGGGCTGCTGGAGGAGCCGCGAGACCCACGGTAGGAAGAGGCGGTGATAGCCGCCAAGCGTGCCGGAGAGGAGAAGTGTCGCGTCCCCACCGAGGCGGTTCAGCGAGGCGGTGTCGCTCAATAAGGCGTCAGAAACTGCCGTTGCGACGTGGTGCAAATACTTCTCGCTGTTGGCTGCAGCATTCCCGCCAGTTAAAGACGCCTTCGACGTCGACGCAGATCTGCCTTTCCCTCCTTGCGGGATAAAGAGTACAGCACTCGACTGATGTCCCTCAAGCCCGCGGCTCAGCGCGTTGGCAAAGGCGGTAAGGGCGTAACGATACACAGGACGGACCCGCCCGCCAACAACACGAAGGAACGGATGTTGGATTAGCGACAGACAAAGCTGCAAAAAGGCATCGTCGCAACCGTCCGACGGCATCCCAATTTCTCCGCGCAGACATGCAGCCTGCAAGAAATCCGCAGCCGCGGAGGTCACCGCGGAAGACGCGCCACCAGCGTCATATGCAGTCGTGTTGCTGTTGTTCTTCCTTTTATTGGTGTGGCTGCTGCTGCTGCCACCTTTCGCCAGGATGGATTGCAGAGCCGGCAAAAGGATGTGCATAGCAATACTACTGTCCGCAGCGTCACCGCGGGTGACGGATTTGCTGCGAGTAGGAAAAAAGTATTCCATGGCGCGACAGGAGAGAGCAAACGGCACCACCGGTTCCTCTTGTTGCCCGGTACACGTCCCGGCCATCATGCGGCACAGCAGTTCAGCGGCACCACGCGTAAAATGGCCGCGGGATTCCTCCCGAGCCATAGACTCAATGATGGCGCTGAGCGTCGTGGCAGAGACGTGTTCTACCTGCAACGCCGACTGCACCGCAAGCTGTGCGCCAGTGGTAGAGGCAGCAGCATCACTGTGGGCCCCACGCTTTTCTCGCGCTGCGGCGAGGACGATATTCTGAACCTCCCGTAGCAGAGACTCCCTACGGCTTGTGGGGGCTGCCAGGGGACAAATCAACGTGAGGGACAAAGCTGAAAGCAAAAACTGCTGCGTCCCTGCCACTAAAGGGCAGCTGCATGTGCGAAACACTGCCGTGTAGACAAGGCCAAACCAGTCCACAGGGAAGCGTTCCTCTTCGTACGCGGCATCAGCCGGTTTCAGGAGACGTAAATAAGCTGGTGGAAGACGGCTGGGGCTCATGGCCACAGCCGGTAACGGCGTACTCAAGTGGCCGAGGAGGTGCGCCATACGCTCAAGTACCACCACGTCACAACTCGTGCAGCTGTCACTTCGGAGGCGCACCTCGACGCTGCAGCGCACCGCCGCCCCCATCGCCTCCGTCAGCTCATCCTTCGGCAGGTACGGGGCCACGAGACTGTTCTTTGCGCCGCGACCCACCTTCTCGTTCACCCGCCGCAGCCCCGCACGCTGCGCCTCCTGCAGCCTCACCAAGTAACCAACATCCGAGTTCGTACCGGCGCCCGTGGCCGTCGTGTCCTCGCCAAGAAAAAACCTCAGCAGTGTCCCAAGCATAGCCTCCACCTCCGCTGCCTCGGACGTTGCTAACTGCGACGCACACGCCAAACAGCACTCCACCACCGCTGACCTCGACTCCCGCGAAACGTGCAGTTCCCCCTCCCCCTCCGCCTTGCCGCGTAGCTGAGCTAACACCGCCGGCAGACGCATCTCAGCCTCCTCCCGCAGCAGCTCCAACAGTGGAACACACTCAAACACTGAAAGATATCCACCGTTGCTGACTCCCACATTCGCAGTGGTGGGATTGGCGCCCGCGTGCGTGGACTCTTTTGTCTGCTTCCTCGTCTTCCTGGCTCCCCCCGCGTTATCATCCCCGTGTCGTCGTCGTCGTCGCTACTATCCTGTGCCGCCTCGTTCTTCTCGACAGTTGAGGCGGCACCGTCTCTTGTGACGGTAAAAAAGGCAGGTGTTCTGTTCATATCCAGTATGACCGCCGTCAACCACGCCTCCAGCTCTGCAATCAACTCATGCTTCAAACGCGCTGCATCTGCAGTCCCCTTCTCATTGCGGTCTCCCGTCGACTCCTGATGTCCCGCGTCCACATACTGCAGCACCACATAGTAAAGCGTCAACCCCCGCACAGAGTCTGAAAAGATGCTGGTGCCTGCGCAACCTTTCGGCGTACGATGACTCCGTTTCCCTGAAGACATCTTCAAGGGGCGGATGTCCAGAAACCGTAACAGAGGCTGTAGCGCAACGACGAGGAAACTTTTTTGTACAGCAACATCATGCTGTGCAGTCATCCCCCAGAGCGCGCGAATAATGTTCCGCAGGTGTGAGAGGATGATGCCGTGCTCCAGCGACGAGAGAGACCCGCCGTCGCGCGCTGTCGCCGTCGACGCCTCTGGGTTCGTCAACAACGCCAGTAGCTTTTCCATCGCCGCCGCAGCCGTGTGCAAAAACTGTTCAGCCACCGTGGGGGATTGCTCGTAGCACACCACGTGTTCCAGAAGCTCCAGCAACGAGTTTCCCGCGCCGCCACCGGGAGCCGAGGAGGAGGTGAGAAGCTGCTGCGTCGTCATGTGGGTCATCGCCCTCGCCGCCAGGAGACGTACTTCCGGCAGGGGATGCAGCAAGCAGGAAAAGAGCGGAAGTCGTTCGGTTGCGCCAGAAGCCCCCTGCACCTCCAACAACTCATAGCGGGTGCCGCTGAGGTGTTGTGCAAGAAATGCGGCAGTTGCGGTCTGCGTCGTGATGTCGTTCAGCAGTCTCGACAAGGTGGCGTCAAAGACGTGGGAGAAACGACGCTCCAAAGCCCTCATCCACACAGTGACCAGTGAGCCCGCCTCGGCGTCGACGTCGTGGCGGAGGACAGCCGTTTCGTCTTCCTCTGCCTCCTTATTTGCCAGGTCCTTGTCACGGCAGCCGCCCGATGTGGACTGCGGCAGCTGGCACGCCATCAGCGCCTGAATCACATCCGCCACCAACGCATCCGTGAGTGGGAGATCCTCCACAGCACACTGCACAAAATGCAGCACATCCGGTGCGACAGACTCGACGGAATGGGCAACCCGAAGCCGTTGCAGGCACTGGTGAAGCAAGACAGCAATAAGCGAGTCATAAATTCCGCCACCAGCGTTGGCAGCGTCCTCGGCGGCGGCGGCAATCCACGGTGCCCACTGCTTCCATGGAAATGTCAACAGTAAGTGAATCTGCGGGGCGAAAGTAACCTGTGCCACAGCGTTCCGTTGTGTGTAGAAGAGGAGGTCAAGAATGGCCAACAGGTCGCTCACGGGCACAGTGGCAGCGACGACAGCTGACGACGAAGCTGAAGCCGCCGCCATATCCTCTGCCGCTCTTAGTAAAGATCGGACAATCGGCTTCATCACGGTTGTCAGCGTTGCCATGGACAGCTGCACCTCACTACTCCACGCAGCCAGGACGACGAGAGCACTGCATACGACCTCGCGACTCGGAAGCGGCAACACGACACTGCCGCCCCGTGCATCCTCCTGCAGCCGCAACTCCTGCTGTGCGTCACCCCTTTCGCCTCCCGTCACCACACCGCTCAGGAATTCGACGATGAAAGGCAACAAGACACGCCACAAGGCCTCTGCGTCGGGGTGTGAAGCCAATCGCACTGCCACACCTGCGAAGAGGGCGTTTGCTGCGCTGTTGTGCACCTTCATGCGAACAGAAGTGGCAAGCGTAAGGCAGACCATCCGCAACGCCTTCCGACTCTCTGCGCAGGCCAGAACAAGGTGTTCCCGCAAGAGGGGGGCGCCGTGTTGCTGGTTGTTCTCAAGGAAGGCGAAGCCAGTGTCACGCAGGTCCAGCAGCATCACAGCGCGGGCAAATAGGCTGTGGTCATGGTACGGCAGGAACGTTCGAAGCACGGCCTCGACGTTGTACACGTGTACCTCGTGGACGCGCACGAGGTACTCGAAAACCTGGTGTGCCGCTGTTAGGAAGAGGTGCGGACTGAGCAGTGTAAGGAACTGCTCAAGGGCTGCGTTTACGGCGCGGTTTTCCTCCGCGCTCAGCAGCTTACGTTCCACGCGGGTCTTGTAGGGGTGGAACAGTTCCTCAATGAAGGGGTGGAGCCGGTTGTCGATTGCGACAAGCGTTTGCAGACCGTGAACGGCGAGTTCGTGAATCTGCTCCCGCGAGAAGCTGCGAGCCTCGCCGGCGTCAAACAAAAACGACTGTGACAGCCGCTTCTCACCCACAGGCCGCTGCTGCAGCTTCTGCAGCTGTGAAGCAAGCTGAGACGTCATCGACTCTCTCTCACACACACGCTCAGTCAGAGACGCTAAGCCTCCTTTTACTACTTACTTATATTTCCCTTCCCTTGTCTTCCTTTTTCTTTTTTTGTCTTTTATACCACTCCTTTTTTTCTTTTCTTTTATTGGTTGTGCTTGCCCGCCTGCGTGCGTGTGTGCAAACAGTATCACCAACGACTGGACGCGGCGCAAATGAAAGTGTTAACGTCTCGTCAGAGCCTACAGCAACGATAGCAGCCCCCAAAAAAGAGAGAAGCAGACACAAAAGAAAAGGCAAAAACACGCGACAGACCAAAATGCACGCGTCTCCACACACACACACGCACACCTCCTTAAAGATCAAGCGCAGAAACATGAAAGGGACGAGCGAACACGAAAAGGGCAAAAGTATTTGGAGGACAAACATGACGAAGTCGCCTCACACGGCGGCGAGGTTTAGCGGGGGAGGCGGTCAAGGAAGCAGTGGAGTCACACGCATACGCAGACACACATGCATGCTGGCACACGTGGATGCACCGGCGGATCAGCCCTCTGTACGTTGGCGTTTGCGTCGTCCGCCCCGCCCCCGCTCCCCAGTTGCCTCAAGCGTCTTGAGGCGCTCTACCACGGCAAGCGCCCCCACCGACGAGGCCGTAAACACGCGATCACTCGGCGAAAACGAGTGCAGCCGCGCACGGTAGGCTGCCGCCTTGCTGCCCGCCGCCGCAGCGGCAGTGACACCACCCCACTGCTGCTGGCGCTCCAGGCCAAAGCCATCAAATAGGCAGCCGCCCAGCTCCACGTACTGCCGCAGGTACGCCGTCTCCAAATCGTACACCCGCAGGTCCAGCGCCTCCAGGCAACTCTCAAGGTCCTCACGGCGCTTCTGCAGCTTCTGCAAATGCGCCGGCAACCCCATCCCCCCCTCCCTCCTCCTCCTCCTCCTCCGCGGCCAGGCCAAAGGCGGTGACACCACGTTGCCCGTGGCCCCCCTTCGGAGGCATTTTCAACGAACTTCTACTAACCCTCTTTGCGCGCAAACGCCGCCTCTCTTCAACTAAAAACGGTGGCGCGTCTACCCACACAGCCAGAGGCAATAAGAAAAAAGCGGAGCGAAGCGAGCGCATCAGGGTGCGGCAAGGCACAAAACCAGCAAGTAGGTGAGACCACTTTTTTAGTTTGCTTGCTTGTTTCTTACTAACTGGAGAAAGATTCTCTCGACTACCCCCTGACGCCACCAACAACGGAAAAAAAATGTAGGGGTGCCACACATCTACGTCCAGAGCAAACCGGCTCACAACTGGGTGCGCAAGAGAAAGGGAGAGAAGGGGGGGAGGGAAGAAAGGTAGGTTGCGTCGCTGGATTCCTGGTCGTTGGCGTCGTTGCGCGTTCTGGGGCTCGCAGCGGACGCATCACTCAGAATGAGGCAAAAGGAAATCAAGGGTAGCTTCCCACCACCATACAGAAGTAATTCACATACATTGGAAAGGAAGAAATGCAGAAAGGTCAAAAACCAAACAAAAAATGCTAATATTAATGCGGGCTCTGGCTCCAGTATGGTCACATGAGTCTCGCGGGGTGTTGACAGAGAGGGGGCCACCGAATCGCGGCCACACATGCACGCTACATGCAACCCCACACAAGCAGAAAACAGAAAACGCCCGCTGCTTGGTGAAACCCCCTCCCCCCGCGTCACCCACCCCTATTTTAAACGAGAACGGTTTCCTTTGCATTGGCGCATGGACTTCACGTCGGTGCGTAATCGACACCTTTCACACGGTGCTGACGGTAGTTTGTAGAGCCTCGCCGAATATGGCGAGGTACCGCATACAGTCGTGGGAACGCCGTATCCAGCTACCAAATGGCTACAGCGTAGACGCCGTCCGCACGTGCTGCTGGGGCGGCGACACGAGAAACCACACGAGCCCCCCTCCTCCCCCTCATCCCCCTCAATACAACCGCACAGATTTAGTGTTAAGGTTGGGAAAGGCTGATTGTACATTCAACGTAAAAGAAAAACAAACAAATAAATTTCATACTGTCAATCTCCGCCGCCCAGCTGTAATCTACATCTCCGCCCCTCACCACTGCCGCAGAAGACTTTTCCTGCCCCGGAGTGCGTCCTGCTGCATTGCAGAGAACACGCATCTCACACAACATTATTTCTTCACGGCGAGATTCACGTAAAAAAGCCAGGACCTTCAAAAATATGGCCTGGCAACCACCTCCTACAGACAATGGAACGCCCTTCACAAAGAAACGTACCCCACTACTGCCACCACTACCACAGATACAACACAAAAACAAACAAAATGAACCGCGGGGGAGGACAAAGCGAGATAACACTGAGCAATGCGGGCTTCAGCTGCGTTCACTCACCTCCTCCTCATTCAATCACCTGTCGGCTATCATCATTTAACGAGGCGAGACATCTTGGTCGTCAACTACCATAGAGAACCTCTCGGCCAAAATGTGATCCGTGTATTCTCTCTTGCCTGTATAATTAACCGCCAGCTTGCCTCGTCGGCAGCTATCACCTCACGTTCTGTGGCTTCCGCCAAAAAAAGAAGCCCTGGTTCAGCCATCCATTCCTCTGGCACAGACACACCCGCTTTATTCGCGCCCTTTGATGTGAGTGAAGGCGCATTGAATGTTTCAAAGAGGCCCGTCATTTGCTTCGAGAACGCATCCACCGTAGGTTTCTCCACCTCGTTGTGCAATGCTAGCACGCCGTCTTTCGTTGCCTCGCCCCCCACCTTCGCCGTCGGGCTTTTGTCCGCAACCTCTGAGATGGACGCCACCACGACGCGGAAGAGGCCGATGCACTTCAGAACAGTCCGGTGCGTCAGCAGGGTGTACGCACCAAAGTCCTTGTCAAAATACGTGATGTACGAAACCCTGAGCCCCAAGAAAGCGGCACCTTCCTCAATGGCGCCCACCGCCCTCTCAAACGTGAGGGATCCCCTTCTGCAGAGATCCGGCAACTTTATCGCCCCGACCTCCTCACCCGTCCCCGAAATGTACACCACGGACCAGTACCCAGGGTCATTCTCCCCGCCGCGGGCCCTGCCAGGTGCCAGATGCCCCGCCACAGGGCCTCTACCACCGTACCGCAGCGGCCGCTGCTGCTGGTACCCGCTAGAAAAACCCATCCCCTGCGACGAGAAGTGCGATTTGGCGCGTGCCTGATACGCCGCAGAAGTTGTCGTCCCCAACAGCGTTGGATTGGGGCGGCAGCGGCGGGCGACACGCACGCAAACTCCATCCGGGTATGGAGACAGTGTTTCCGCGTTAGCAACAAAGCCATGTTTACTGGCCACCGTTGACATCCTGTAATCACGCAAAAAGGACTGCTTAAGGCCGCCTAACTGTGAATCCGACGGCCCCACAGGCATTGACGTCGAACCAAACATATCCCACATGAAACAGTGACACCACACCAATAATAATAATAAAACTACTCTCGACCTTCAATCCACGCAATCCTTCTACTACATAGCAAATAAATAAAAAAAAACACTCTGATCAAAGATAGGGTGCCCGCTGCAGACGTGGGGCAGGAAGCTGTCAGAGAGGCCCCGGGAAGGGCCAACCGCCAGAGCTCATTTCACCGCGCAACGCGCATCGAAAAAGGTACACTCAGTTAGCGAGATCATCACACAGAAGGGGTAACGCACGGGGGCGGAGACGCAGTACACCACAGCATCATCTCCGGGACTACCAGAAGGCACCACCACGGCACAGCACAGCGCACGGGCACCTCGGATTGCCCCGTGGAACACAAACTCGTGCCACACCTGCCTGCTGCCCGCCCAACAAAGAAAGAGAAGGAGAAGAACAACACATTCGCACATCTCGCACAGTGTCGGCGCCGACGGGGAACTGATCTGCCACGGCCGGCTTCTTCTGCTGTGCTCGCACGCAACAGATCTCACGCATCTCAGGATCCCGCAGCGGACACC